GGCGGAAAACACCGGTAATAGTCACCCTCATCACTAATAGTCACAGTATACATGGCAGCAAGAATAGCATCAAAGTCAAGGTCAAAGACAGCTACACCCGCCCTAGACAGCTCACCCCAGCGGGGGATCTCAGTGGCCTCAGGGAATTGGTGACGCCAAGCGTCCGTCAGGCGGCCAAAGCAGCGCTGGGTGGAGTGCGCACCCCCGCACTGCTCACCCGCACGGTCGCCGGTGCGTAGGACGTAGGTGCACGGACCAGTACCCCCACCCCGCTGGCGTGCAGCGTACCACTCACGGAGCTGCTGAGGGGGGGGGATGTCACGAGTGCGCTGCTGCTGCTGCTGCTGCTGCTGCTGCTGCTGCTGGCGCTGACCACCACCGGAGCCGACCCTCTGCGAAGCGCCACCCCGACCAGCTCCACCTCCTCCGCCGCCTCCTCCTCCACCGCCGCCACCTCCACTCCCACCGCCACCGCCGCCGCCGCCTCCGCCTCCACTGCCGCCACCGACACCTCCACCCCCGCCACCACCCCCACCGCCACCCCCACCCCCTCCACCGCCTCCACCGCCGCCTCCACCGCCCCCGCTAGCTCCTCCAGTGCCCCTGCCCCCCTTGCCCTTGCCAGGGCGGCGTCTCCCGCTAGGGGTAGACGCCGCACCGACCGACTCAAGCCCAACGAGGTCGGCCGCAGCAGCAGAGGCAACAGAGGGCAAAAGGGGGGAGGGGGAACACCCCTCAAAGATGGGGGTGCGAGGGTCTCCACGAGAGGCTCCTACAGCTACTATGCTCTTCTCTGCTGCTAGGAGGGACTTCTCGAGGAGGTCAACGGTGAGAGTGGTGGGGCAAACTGAGAGGAAGTGGTCCCTGACTACGCGAAGGGAGTCAGGGAGCCGGGTGACTATGTAGTAGAGGGTGATGTAGCGCGGTAGCGAGTGTCACTAGTGCGGAGGTGCGTAATGAGGTCAGCGACTGTGGGAAAGGCAGCAAGGTCAGGGAAGAGGTACGGTAGCATGAGGCGGCTCAGGGCAGCAGTGGCAGGGGAGGAGTAGCGCGCAACTACAGCGTCGTACAAGGTCTGAGCACTCTTGTACTGGCTAAAGTGCGCACGCTCAGAGGTAGGCAGGTGGCGACGCACAGCAAGACGTGCAGCAGCATCGCGAGTTGCCCACTGTGAGCGAACAGTGGCGTCGGCATCAGCAGCAGGGGCAGGCGAGGCACCAGAGGTGAGGTCAAAGAGGGAGAGACCGTCTGCCCTATCGCACAGTAGGAAAAGCTGCAGGTCATCTACCCAGACGTCAAAGTCAATGGCCCGACCCTCAGCGTCAAAAGCGAGGACACTAGGGGTAGCCATGACAGCAGTAGACTAGCAGCGCGAACAGTAGGGTAAGGGGAGTGCAGGGACAGGGGCGCTGCTCTTACCGGACAGGGCGACTCGGGTGGCTCGGCGGCTCGGCGGCTCGGCAACTCGGCGGCTCGGGCGGCTCGGGCGGCTCGGCGGTACGGCGGCTCGGCAGCAACAGCGGCTCTGCGACTCGGCGGCTCGGGCGGCTCGGGCGGTACGGCGGCTCGGCAGCACGGGCGGCTCAGGTGGCGCGGCGGCTCGAGCGGCTCGGGTGTATCAGGCAGCTCGGTGGCGCCGGCGGCTCGGTGGTGACGGCGGGGCCGCGTGGGGAGCGGCGGCGGGGCCGGATGGAGCGGCGCCGGTAGGGCCGGGTGCAGTCAGCGGCGGCAGCAGCTGCGGCCCCGAGGGAGGTGGTGGCGGCTGCTGCTGGCGACGGCTGCGGCTGCTGCTGCAGGGACGGCGGCGGCCGCTGCGGCAGGGGCGGCGACAGCGGGCCGGAGGGGCGGCGACAGGGCCGCGAGAGGCCGCGAAGGGCGGTGAAGGGGCCGTGAAGGGCGACGCGAGGGGCCGCGGAGGGCGGCGACGGGCCGTGAAGGGGCGGCGCGAGGGGCCGCGGAGGGCGGCGACGGGCCGTAGGGGGGCCGTGAGGGGCCGCGGGAGGGGCCGTAAGGGGCATAAGGGGCCGCGCGAGGGGCCGTAAGGGGCGGCGCGAGGGGCCGTAAGGGGCCGCTAAGGGCGGCGCGAGGGGCCGACGGGCAGCGCGAGGGGCCGTAAGGGGCCGTAAGGGGCCGCGCGAGGGGCCGTAAGGGACGGCGCGAGGGGCCGTAAGGGGGGGGGGCGCTAAGGGCGGCGCAAGGGGCCGACGGGCGGCGCGAGGGGCCGTAAGGGGCCGTAAGGGCGGCGAGAGGGGCCGTGAGAGGGGCCGCTAAGGGCGACGCGAAGGGGGGGCCGTGAGGGGCCGTGAGAGGGCGCGACGGTAGGAGCGAAGCGCGCTCCTGGCAGGAAAAAAAAAAATCGTGGTGGGCCCTAGGAAGCGTTCCCACTAGGGAACCTGCTCGATACCATGAGAAGAAACGAGAAATGAGAATGACTAAGGGAAAGTTGGGTACAAAAGCAAACCCTGGAAAACTTTACCCCATATGTGCTACCCCACTATAGCCTACAGTAGCTATGTCATATAAATCTGACAGGCAGAAGGTACAGCTGTGGGCGCGTATAAGCCCTCTCCTAAAATCGGCGTTCTGGTGCAAAGCGCCATCGCCTTCTATAAAAAGGAGAGCTATGAATGAGAAATTTGAACGAGAGTGCTAGGAGAAAGTGGAACGACGAGGTGGTTGGACGAGAATGGAACTGCAAAGTTCCGAAATGAAGACGTGGGTGGAGGCCAAAAGGCCTCCAACCCTCGTTATGTACTCGGCGAATAGTAATTCGCCGTTGCCTTGCTTCGCTACAGTAAGCTGCGCTTTCACAATACACATTTTTAGAAAGTGTTACACACTTTCAAAAAAAATCATAATCATATAAAAGCTTGTATCCTTTTCTTATTATCAACTTACTTTGTTCTCACAAACCAGTACAAGGTGGTTCAACAAGTCTTTATTAAACGCTTCCGCTACTACATCATCCTACATTTGAATTCTGTCCTGCAAAGATCCTAAGGGCTTTTTTCAGCCCAACAGTTTCAAGAGTCACTTTCCAAAGTGCTGGATCACCAAGCAAAATTATCTGCAGCCTGTGCTTGTGCTTATTGTGGCACAAATATTGCAACACAACTAAGTGTTTGATTCATATGCTCGACTTTTACCACATGTTGCAGACAAAAAAAGTCATAATCACCAATTCACAACCATCAAAGTGTAGTGACCGCAGTAACGGGGGTAAGGAGTTTGGGGGTAGTGTGTGGGAGGGGTAAGAGTCCCTTTTCCAGGGACTATAATAGTAATAAATACTATAAATAATGAATTTATAAGTCTCAAAGAGAATGTATCCAATTTCATGTACTACAGTTTTCTGAGATTTCAATGAAAGTCATCTGACATGCTCAGGTCTGCGGCATCAAGAATACGTGAAAGGTTCCAAACCTCTCGTGACTTGTCTGACGCGATCTGGTCTTCCAGACCAAAATGTTTCGGTCGGTGGTCAGAGCTGAACCCAGAACTTGCGGCACGAATTTTGTGCACGGTGTGAGTGCTATGCTGACCGTCCAAAACAAATTGCCAACTTTCTAAGTCCAGAAAGGCGAGCAATTTTTTCAGAAGCCAAACCGGAAGCTTTACCTTCCCGGAAGGAAACCGTTTGGCGGGAAATTTCCTGCGCCACGAACCAAACCGCAGACTCGATGCGCACAATCGAATTCGTGTCGCTAGAATCCTGTCATGCCATCTCGAATGCTGCTGGATAGCATGTTGTGTTCTGCCGAGCCGACCCGAGGCAGGCGAGCGCACGGCAGGAAGAGCTGAGGCCCCGATGGTTGCCTTGCTTCCGCCAGACTGTTTTGGTGGAAGGAAAGCAGTGCAGTGCCAAAAACAGTGGTAGCAACAAGGACTCTACCGCACATGCCTTGACTGGCAGTCCTTTTGTTTCTTTGCATCCATTTCCGTTATGGCCCCATCCATCCATGCATGCCGCTCCTCGTCCGCCTGACCTAGTGAATTGACGGGACGAATTCTTGTGAGTTCTTGAGGTGGAGCTGCTCTGAACGGGACCGTTCGCACGTAGGCCTCATGCTGCTGAAGCTCCCTCCGTCTCATGGCCCACCTTCCCTGCATCTTTTCTGAAACGAGTTGTTCGGGCTTCACGAGCTATCAGTTCCAAAACGCACGCATCGGTGTCTTATGTTAGGGCGACTCACTTCTCACGAGGGGAAAGAGAGCAATCGTCTAGTTGCTACTAACCTCCTCTCGGCACCCTTCCGTCATACCATCTGATGGATCGGGATTTTGGGCCATAGTTGCTGGCATTAGCTTACCTTAGCTTCGGTAGAAAACTTTACTGATGGATGTATGTTAGATACCGTTCTGTAAGGTAGATGTGACAGCGTGACAGACTCTGATCCCGAAGGTGTTTTTTTCTGGAGGATAAAGCTTCACACCCGAAGTATTACTTGCACCATACGAGTTGTTTCCAAGAACAAGCATACTCAGCAGACTCTAGGGTTGAATACCGCTCGACGCAGTCACTAGGGAACCTTAGAAGAGTAACAATTAGCGATGGGCTGGCTGAGCTGTTGCGGGGACTCTTCTAGCGCGGACGATCTGAACCACAGATGGCGAAAAGGGTCTTCAGAGCGGGCCGTCGCAAATCCGAAAGTCGCTCCTGACATCGTCGAAGGTACGCTGAACACGCAGTGCCCTCAGATTCACTTACGAGTCAACATCCTGCTTTGATCAGGGTCTCAAAACTTGGTTTGAGACATTTCAGAGCTCGATTCCGAGTCGTCTCGAAACTTCACACTCATAAAGGTGCACTGTACCTGTTCTGCTTTAACAATGAACTAAGTCGCATCTTGCCCGATTTTTGGAGACTCTCGTCGGCTCTTCACAGGAATCAAAAGGCTCTCTGCCGTTGCTTCCCAGGCTTCTCTTCTCGAACCACTTCGCTTAGTTGTTTAGCTCGGAAGTGAGTTTCCTGCTTGCCTGCCGGGTTTTTGCGCTCGCAGGTATGACCCCTTCACCATCTTCCAGAAAGGGAGTAGGCGAAATGTCTCACGGCGACATGACTGTCAAGGCTGACGCTTCTCTCCGCTCGGATAGAAGCGCGAACTCTCCGCAGCAGAAACAGGCGAAGCAGCAGCAGCAGCAGCAGTCAGCAAGCAGCAGCAGCAGCAGCGGAACCCGATCAATCCAAACTTCGTCTGTTTCTCGGAGCGAGGACGGGGGAGCAGCGGCGCCGTCGGGTGGGGAGGCTGAGGTGACAGAAACTGAAACGGAAAACGTTAACGGCCAGACTCCTGCTGCTGCTGCGGCCGCTGCTTCCGCCGATGGCGAAACACGAAGGACAGACGGAGAGTCGCATGCGAGCGATCCTGCGTCGCAGCCGTCGCATCCGCCGCAGCAGGTGTCGTTCAATCCGCTAGTAGGGGTTGCTCCGTCGATCGCCGCGCAGACGTTCACGTTTCGCGAGCTCGAGCGTGCGACGGGTGGGTTCTCGAAGAAGAACTTCATAGGCGAAGGAGGCTTTGGACGCGTCTATAAGGGAAAGCTGGAGTCCACTGGCCAGGTGAGTCGTTCGTTCCTTGTGATGTGCGCTGCTGCTGGTGCTGCTTCTGCTGCTCCTGCTGGCTTCTGCTGCTTGGTGCTGGTGCTGCTATTTTTCACCTGGATCGTTGTGCCCTGTGAGGCATAACTTTTCATTTCATTTTTTAACAATGGTTAGAAAGCCCAGCTAAAGTTGCCAAGTGCAGGCATTAGAGTACTACCGGTTGTTGGCTTTTAACGAACGTCGTCAATCCCTAGATGCGTGCAGGGCTTACAACGTGGGGTAGCAAAATGTGTTGGCACTGGAGGTTCCGAACCGAGCCATGTTGAGCCGTGCAGCAGGGATACACTACGGCGCGGACATTGACGGAAAGCCTTGTTCACCTGGGTTCCGTAAAATCTTTTCACCTTGTCATGAGTGATCAATTTTCCCGGCATGATCCCCGCTATTGTGCTTTTTAATTCAACAGATTGTAGCCGTAAAGCAGCTTGACCGTAACGGAATGCAAGGCAACCGAGAGTTTCTCGTGGAGGTGCTCATGCTGTCATTGTTACACCACTCGCATCTCGTGAACCTGATTGGTTACTGCGCCGATGGCGATCAGCGGCTATTGGTGTACGAATTCATGGCAAACGGCGCACTAGAGGACCATCTACTCGGTAAGAATTCAACAGAAATGCTATGTTTGTCTGGTAAACTGTACTGTAAACTCGATTCTCTAAGTCCTCAATCTGATAGTTCATCTGCTATCTTGAGTGCCGTTAATATCGATTTAGTGTGGCTGACACATAGCACAGAAAGAATGGTCGCATGATCGCACCGTAATCATTTCTTTCCAATTGGGTTTTCCTGTTTCGTCCATACGCGTTACAGACCTGCCGGAGGGCAAAGAGCCGTTGGAATGGAATATGCGCATGCACGTGGCTGCTGGCGCCGCCAAGGGTCTCGAATATCTACACGTCAAGGCGAATCCTCCCGTTATATATCGCGATTTTAAATCATCAAATATCCTTCTGAACGAATCATGGCATCCGAAGCTTTCCGATTTTGGCCTCGCGAAGCTGGGCCCGGTTGGCGACAAAACTCACGTTTCTACACGCGTTATGGGAACGTACGGTTACTGTGCACCCGAGTACGCTATGACGGGTCAGCTTACAGTGAAGTCGGACGTGTACAGTTTCGGTGTGGTGCTTTTGGAGCTGATTACTGGTCGGCGGGCGATTGACATGAGGAGGCGACACGGCGAGCACAATCTCGTCGCATGGGTAAGCCACGTGGCAGTCAGTGGTTGGTTGGACGAGTGTGAGGGTTGTGGCTGCGGGGTGTAGAGGCGGAGAAAGGAAGGGAGGTAGAGGGAGGAGGGGTGTGTGTTTTTTACCATCATTCCTATTGTCAAGAGCTGAATTCCTCAATGTTGCACGTTTTTCGTTGCGCAGGCCTTTCTAATGAATACTCCTTAAACTCCATATCCCTCCCCTCTCCCATCCCCTCTCTCCGCCTCTCCCTCACCCTCCAGGCTCGACCACTATTCAAAGACCGGCGGAAGTTTCCAGCCATGGCGGACCCGGGACTGAGGGGTCGCTATCCCATGCGCGGGCTGTATCAGGCTCTCGCGGTGGCGGCGATGTGCTTGCAGGAGCAGGCGGCTCAGCGACCCATGATTGGCGATGTGGTTACCGCACTGAGCTACCTCGCCAACCAGCCTTTCGACCCGGATAAGATCTCACGGTGAGTGGGGTGGGGAGTGGTGCGGAGTGGTTTTGGGTGTTCACCTTTGTTGTATCCTTGATTACACCTCCTTTCAAGCTTTTAAACTTTGCAGTCTCACCTCACCATCATTCCTCCCCCTTTCGTCCAACCACAGGCCGCCACCTGGCACGCCGCAGCACAATCCGATGGACAGGCGGAGCAACTCCAGTGGAGGCGGGGGAGGGGGCGAGCGCAAGGGCTCCCGCTCCCCCGCCCCCCACCACCACGGAGGGGCTAGACGCTCCGCCCTGTCCCCCATGCAATCCCCAGATGTGAGACACATGCACCACCACCACATGAACCACCACCGGTTCTCGGAACGGGGCGAGGAGGAAGGAGCGGGAGGGTCTGTGGGTGCTGCAGGTGGTGTTGCTGGGTCGGCGAGTCCGATGCGAGTGAGGGGTGGAGGGGGGTATAGGGAGGGGCCGGTGGGGTATAGGGAGAGTCCGGGGCATGGGGGGGTGGGGAGTGGAGGCCGGACGCCGAAGAATCAGAAGGGGTATGGAGAGAATTGGCGTGCGCGAGGGGAGGAGAGAGGGGGAGGAGGAGGAGAGGAGAGTAGGTGAGGTGATGCTATGAAAAAGGGAGGGAGCGAGGGAGCACAAGGGAGATGCAACCTAGTTATGCAGCAGGTACTGGACCTGGGGAGGAAGAAGGGATGGGTGGCAGGAAACGGAGCAGCAAGGGATTCAAGCTGGTGTGGCGGCAGAATATGGGTCTTGGCGACAGTTTATGGGCGTCGATCAGGACGTGATCAGGGCATCGATCTGGCAATTCGTTGTTAGAACACCAACTTGCTCGTTTTCCCACTGACAATTAGAGAACGATGGCGGTTTAGGCATTTGGACCTTGGTCGTTTCTTACACAGCAGGTATATTATGCAACTGATATTATGCAGTATAGGAAGAGATTGGGGATGTGGTTGCGAATCACTATGGGTGGGTGAAAATGCAAGGGTTATAGCTACTGTCACACGCAGGGGTTGCTGGGTAGAAGTCGTGTGGTTTGTGTTGTGATCCCATCTGCTTTTAGAGATGAACAATCAAACTTCTCTTTTCTCTTTCAGAACTTTGTCCATATTAGCTCCACATTAAACAAAACATGATGCATTCTTCGTAGCTCTACTTTACCCTAACGGTTTGTCAATCCAGAGCTGTTGGCTTTCCTATACGTTTACAGGGTTCAAGTGCAAGCAAACAACTTAAGCTGTATCTCAATTTTGCAGATATACAGTATATCCTCATTAGTTGTCAACGTACAGTTGTTGCCTTGCCATGCCAGCCTTGTTTGAGTGGTCTTCGGTCCTGACAGCAATTCCCAACGGTGGAGTGGAGCACTGGGTCCCGAACGTCGCCTTGGGAGCACCAGCCATGCTGCCATGCAGCTTGTCGTGGCCCAGCATCCAATTGATCATTATCGTCGGCGAAAATCGTATGGGTGTCGACGACGATAGACCTCCCCCGACGACAGCTTACGATAGAGTGGTTGTCCCCAACGACTAGAGTAACATTCGCGATCTTCGCGAGGAAGTAGGTCCTTTGTTCGTGGACGTGGTACCCCAACATCAGTTCCCATGTCAGCCATGTCGAGACTCGTGACAGGCTGGCATTTGGACACTCTCGAAGTGGTGTTGTTTCCGTTCGATTTACGCACCACGGTTCTGTTGGATGCGTTGCGTTCTAAAACGGTGAAGGGTCTGCACCGTTGTGTACCGTTCAAGAGAGGTCTTCAACCGCACGAAACGGTCCCCCAGATTACCTCCAGTAAGCCAAAACAAGTTCTCCAAAACTTGAGCCTAGAACTCCAGTGCTGCTGTTGTAGCAATTGTCGCTTAGTTTGTCAGGCATAGTAGGTAGCCGACTAATTAGGTCCTGAAGCTCGTCGTTGTCAGGACTTATCGTCAGGCCATACGATGGGTGATCACCTGCAGCAGTCGTCAGCGTAATTGTTAAGCTGGTTGTTAATGTGCAATCCTGACTGCTGGCTTCACGAGAGCAGTTAGTAGTTATGTGCGTGGTCTGACCGCATTCCGGGGTGTGTCGCGCGTTTTCGTGAAGTGGTTTTTGAATTGGCTAACGAATTGTGGGTGCGTCGTGCATTTCCGCGTGGTTTCTTCGCGTTATGCGTTCTGGCATAAGTGTCGTTATGCGTGTGTCTCCCTCGAGGCGTGCAGCTTTGTTATCGCCTTCTAAGAGCCCGTTTCCATTTTGTTTTCTTAAACTCAAAGCTGGAAGGCTATATTTATGCGACGTTCAGCACCGTAAGATCGTCGATTGACGACGGTTCAGCTGTGTGTTTATTCGCTAAACTCCAAAGCCGAGCCTTTTTAGCCGTCTCAGAAGTTAAGCGCCGTCGGGTTGTCGATCAACGACGCCATAGTTGAACCTAAACCGTTTTTCCAACTGCACTGACAACGCGTCTGTTCCAATCCCATGGCGACCACCTCAGCGAAATGAAATGCTGCGATTGGGAGGACTGCCACGTCGGCACCGGCATCGCCGCACACTGCTGCTCCTGCAGCCACATTCTCCTTCGTCCCGGAAAGCCTCTCGCCAAACTTCGCCATCCTACTCCTTCTCCTCCCCCTTCTGGTCCTGAAAACCCTACGATGACGTCATCATCGGTGTCGTCAACCCCGAGGTCCGGCGTGTTCCATCGTCCCTTCAGCAGCCCGCAGCTGAACATTTTTTCCCGCGCTTTCAGCAGCAGCCCTGCCAGCGATATTTCGGCTCGTTATAAGCGGTCTCGGCGACGGTGGGAATCGGTGACGCATATCCTCCCGTTGTCTTGCTTCGGTAACGAAGATATGACGCTGGATCACGACGAACCTCCGCAACGTATCGAAACATCCACACCAACTAGGTCCGGTACGCACGGCTGGGGAACGCCTAGCTCCGGCACGCCGAGGTCCCGTGGGTCTTGGTTCGGCACGTCTAGGTCCGGCACCAAAGCTGATTCCGTCCCGGAGCTTGTGCTAGAGGTTCGGGAACGAGGCCGTGCTTCGGAGCCTGCTCCGTCTCGCGCAGAGGCAGCGGCTGATTCCACTTCAGCGAGTAGAGATGCGGACGAAACGGGTAACCATGTCGCCGAGCCAGGTAACCATGTTGGAGAAACAGGCGAAACGATGGAGGGATCACGGGATTCGGAGGCTAAAGGGGAAGTCAGGGTGGCGAGGGACGAGGGGACGCAGGAGAATGGGATTGCAGCGATCGGACTGCCGAGCGCGGAGCTTGATCGTGCGGAAGAGCCAGGGGGGGACGCGGGGGCCGCGGAAACGTCACTTTCGGAAGCAGGGAATGCGGAAACGTTAAGAGCACGGGAAGCGGAAGCGCCACGGGCGGAAGCAGGGGAAGTGGACGCACCGCAAGCGGAAGCAGGGGAAGCAGAGATACTAAAAGCGGAAGCAGAGGAAGCGGAAACACCACAGGCGGAAGCAGGGGAAGCGGAAACACCACAGGCGGAAGCAGGGGAAGCGGAAACACCACAGGCGGAAGCAGAGGAAAGGGTTGGCTGCGGTGGTGCTGACATTGCTGTTTCTGGTGCTGATACTGCTGCTGCGACTGGCAATGCTGCTGCTGCTGACGGTGCTGACAGTGTTGCTGCTGCTGCGCATGCTGAAGGTGCAGTCGGGACTTCAGTTTCTGCCAATAATTATTCTGGCAATCCTGTGCTTGATACTGGCTGTGAACCGGCAGCAACAGCTGATGACGTGGCGAAGGCCGTAGCCGTTGATGACGTGGCGAAGGCTGTGGCAGCTGATGACGTGGCTAAGGCTGCGTCAGCCGACGCTTGTCAAACGTCAGTCACACCAGCAGGTGAAAGTATAGCGCTTCGAGAAGGCAAAGGTTTAGGTGTAGCAGTAGACGAGACTGTAGTTGTCGACGCGGATCATACTATAACGAGTATTCCGGATTCTGCTGTTACCGTAGGTCTAGAAGAGAGCAATTCGGTAACCGTAGGTGTAGAGGAGAGTGTAGCGGTTGGAGAGAGTGATGTTGTAGCTGTAGCAGCAGGCGAGGACGTGGTTACCACAGGTAGTGGGCCTGTTACATCTGTTACAGGTGCAGCAGTAGGTGTAGCAGCAGGAGCGGCTGTAGTAACAGGAGCAGCTGTAGCGACAGAAGAGGCTGATTCCATGGATATAGCAGCAGTAGATGCTGCTGCTGCTGCTGCTGCTGCTGCTGCTGCTGCTACTGCTGGGTCTCCTCGTTCGCCTGTGGTGGCACCTCCTGATACTGAGCCCACCACTTCCAGTCCTTCTCAAATGGCATTTTCTGAAGCCGAACCTGCCTGTCCGAACCTGACACCTAGGCTCGGCGTGCCCAGGCTCGTGCTGCCCAGGGTCGGATCTGGAGCGGGAAGGAGTGCGGCCGAGGGGCAAAGGGCGGACGAGACACGTTTAGCAGCAGAGGAACGGGGAGAGAGAAGAGCGGGGGAAGCAGAGAGGTTGGACGGAAGGGAGATGGAAGGGTTAGGGGATCTTAGCCCGAGCTCTTTCTCTTCTACCCCAGGTGTACAGTCACACAGCGTACAGTCACGCGGCGTACAGTCACATCCCACGGACTCCCCCTCTCCTCAGCCCCGTGTGCCTCACTCACACACCCACCCCTCGATCCACTCTTTTGCTCCCCCGGACTCTCCTTTTGAGACATCTCCGATTCTGTCCTCTGAACCGCGCGTGCCACACTCACACACACACCCATCGCATCCCCCTTTCCTTCATCCAGACTCCCCCTCCTCCCCTCAGCCGCCCGTGCCGCATTCGCACACTCACCCGTCGCGCGCACACCCCCAATCCCACCACTCCCAATCCCCCCACCCCCAATCCGTGCACTCTCAATCCCTGCATTCTCAATCCCACCACTCCCAAGCCTCCCGCTCCCAATCCTCTCACTCTCTTCCCGATGCTGCTCCCGCATCCTCCCCCCCTCCTGCTGCCACCACTCCTAGGAGCCCCCCTTCCGTCTCCCCCGTTGCCCCAAACCGTCGCTCCGCGCCTTCCTCTCGCCATCCTCGTTACAATCCCTCTCTGAACCCCGCTCCTTCGCGCCCACATTCCCCCGTTATAGGAACGTTCTCCTGGGGCGCGACTTATAGCGGGTTCCGCCCCCCAGTTGCGCCCTCTAGGTCCGCGCGCACCCCCCCGTCCGCGCTGGGGGGGGGAGATGCGGGGAGAGGAGGAGAGGGGGGAAGAGGCGAGGGAAGGAGGTCAGGGTCACGGGGAGGGGTTAGTCTGAGCGATAGGATAAGGGGGAAGAAAGAAGCAAGAAGAGGAGGGGGGGCAGGCGAAGGGGATGAGGAAACCGAAGGGGGAACCCGCGCACAAGCCCCGTATTTATCAATTCCCGGGGAGGATGGCGAGGAGGGGGATTTACCCTGGAAATCGGACGCGCCCGAGCCTGAGCTCACACCGCGCTCCAACTCCCTTCCAAACGCCTGCTCCCCATTCTCCCTGCTCCTGCCTTCAGACATCAACAGCCCGAAATGGGCCGGCCGCGGTACCGGCAGTGGGAGAGGGCTGGGGAGTGGGTTAGGAGGAGTGGGGAGCAGCAGCAGCAGGCAGAGCGGTCAGTCTAGATACAGCCGGGGGCAGGGGCAAGCTCAAGGGGAGGAACTCCTTGGGGTTGGGGATAGCCCGGCCTGCTACAGCCCGGGCGGCAGCACCCGGAGGCCTGCTACAGCCGGGCCGCTGGGGGACGCAGCGGAGTCTGCTACAGCAGGTGGGTCTGTAGCTGGGACGCCTGTGGCCGGAACCCCCACTGCTCGCACGCCCACGTTTGGGAGGAGGTTGAGGAGGCAAAGGGGGCCGTCTTTTGGCGGGTCTTCGGAGCTGCTGGGGATTATGGGGAAAGGGGCGCTTAAGAAGGGGCTTGCTGCTGGGCTGAAGAGTGTCCAGAGGTGGCGAGAAGGAGGGAGTGGAGGGGGGAGTGATGTGGAGTGGGAGGGGGAGGGGGGGTGGGCGGGGGAGGGTTTTGATTCGCCGAGAACGGGGGATAGTGGGAAGAGGGGAGGGGGAGGAGAGGAGGGGGGGTCCGAACCAGGGACTGGTGGTGCTGCTGGTGCTCTTGCTGCTGGTGGTAGCGGGAGCAGCAGGTCAGGAAGAAGGTCTCTTTTGTCGAGCTTTCTTTCGGACTCATCAGACAAAGACAAGGACAGGGATAGGCCTGGGTCCGCGTCTAAGAGGAGTCGTCTCCGAAGCAGCAGCTTTGGCTCGTTACCCTCCCCCGGGGGTGCTGGTGCGGGCGCAGGTTCGGGTGCTGGTTCGGGTGCGGGCGGCGGTGCTTCGGGTGGTGGTGGTGCTGCCGGCGGCGGTGTGAGCAGAAGCAGCTTTGGTTCCAGTCACGATGGGGAAGAGGATGGGGAGGATTCAGAGGATTTGGCACAGGAAGGAAAGCTATGGGAGCAGCTAGAGGAGAAATACCAGGAACCTCTCTCTGCTGAAGCTGCTGCTGCCGCCGCTGCAGCTGCTGCCGCTGCTGCTGCCTCTCCTGGTGCTGGTGGTGGTGGTTTTGGTGGTGGTGCTACCCCTAATGCACCGTCACCAAGTGGCGCCTCCCCCTCTCTCGCTATGGCGCTCACTCGGAGCATGTCTCTGTCTCGAAACAGGGCTCTTTCCAGAGGCATGTCTATGGTGGCTAGCCGTAGCAGTAGCAGGGAGGCAGCGGATGGAGGGGAGACGGGTGGTGGCAGTGGGGTGGGAGACGGGGAGGGGGAGAAGGCAGGGGGTGGTAGGCAGGGGCGGGCGGCTGGGAGGGCGGCTTTACCTAGGCCTAAGAAGAAACGGTGGATGAGGAGAGATGTTATAAAGGAGGAGACGAAGGAGGAGATTGAGGAGGAGAGGGAAGAGACGGAGGAGAAGCAGCAGGGTGGGTCTGTGGAGGCAGGGGAGGGGCAGGGAGGGGAGAAGGAGGAGGGAGTACTGGTAGGGAGTGGGGATGCTGAGGAGGAACGGAGGAATGAGGAGGTGAGGAGGATTCTGCGTAGCTTGGCAGGTGGAGAGGGAGGAGGAGCAGAAGGAGAAGGAGGGGGAGGAGGAGGGGGAGGGGGAGGAGGGGAGGAAGAGGAGGAGAAACGGCCGTCTCTGGCGGTGATGTTTCAGCGGTCTATAAGCCTGAGGCTGGCACCTGGGGAGAGGCTAGGAGGAGGAGGAGTTGTAGGAGGGGGAGGAGGAGGTGGTGGGAGGCGAGATGGTGGAGGGGAGAAGTTAGGAGTCATGGATGCTTTTAGAAGGCAGGTCACGCTGAGAAGCAGGCATGAACGGATTGAGGAGGAGGCGGCGGGTGGAGAGCGGTTGGGAGGGATGGAGTTGAGAAAGCAGGTGACGTGGAGAGGGGACGGGAGGAGAGGCGAGGGGAGGAGGGGTGTGCTCGGTTTCAGGAGTCTTGCTGCTGCGGTTGCTGCGCTGGTGGGAGTGGGAGGGCGTGAGGTGAAACACGGGAGTGGGGAGGGTTTGGGGGAGGAGGGTAAGGGGAGTGGAGAGGGTATGACTGGGATGGGTCAGAGAGAGGAGAGTGAGGGTGAGGAGGGACGGAAGGATGGGGAGGAGAGTAGTGATGATGATGGAGGGAGAGAGACTTTGGGGGAGGAGGAAGGGAGGGAAGGGGAGGGAGGGAGGGAGGGGGATGGAGGGGAGGAAGGGGAGAGAGGGGAGGAAAGGAAGGGGGAAGGGGTTAGGGAGGAGGTAAATGAGGAAGGTAAGATGGACGAGGGTGCTGGTGCTGGTGCTGGCGGGGTGAGGGATTTGGGAGAAGGAGGAGAAAGGAAGGTGGAACCTGCAATGGAAGTGACGGGAGAGGGGGCAGCAGGGCTAGAACTCACTCCCACTCTCACTCCCTCACTCAATCCCACAATCACTCCCTCACTCACTCCCACACTCACTCCCACAATCACTCCAACGCGCACCCCCAGCAGCAGTGCCCGGTTGACTGGCGTTGACTCGGCCACACTGGCCCAAGTGTCTGCTGTTGAGTCAGCTCAGTCGTTGACTGACGTTGACTCGGCCACAGTGGCCCAAGGGTCTGCCCTTGAGTCAACTCAGACGTTGACTGGCGTTGACTCGTCTACTCTGGACCACGGTTCTGATGGTTCCCCTCTAGGGCTGTCCAGAGGGGGAAGTTTCCACCAGCCTTCCCCAAGAGAAGGCTCCCCATTGGCGGACAATCAGGAAACGAGCTTCCAGCAACGAGAGCAGGGGCAGGAGCAGGAGCAGGAGCAGCAGCAGCAGCAGCAGCAAGAGAAGCAGGAAGAGGGAAAATCGGAGAATCAGCAGCAAACAGAGGAGAATAAACAGCAGCAGCAGGCACCAGGGAGGGCACAGCGGCTGTTGGTAAGGCACCACTCTCTAAGCAGCAGGGCACTAGACGCTGCCAATCAGAGTATGGGTATGGATTTGGGTTTGGGAGGGCGTGATGCTGCTGCTGCCAGCAGCAGCAGCATCAGCAGCAGCAATAATACCCCGGCGAACGACAGTAGCAGCGGTGCTGCTGGTGGAGTTATTGGCAGGCCGCCACTGCAGCGGACGAGTACAGAGAGGATTGTTCGCTCGACCCGCAGTTTGACTGTTAAGAAGTATTTATCCCCGTCTTCCTCGTTGGTACGACGGGCAGGAGTAGGAGCAGTGGAGGGAGCAGGGGAAGGAGCGGGAGGAGAGGGAGATGTGGGTGGGTTGGAAGAGGAGGGTGATAGTGAGGGTGGTGTGGCCGGGGTGGTTCGGGCGAGGCCTGGGGGGGGAGCAGCAGGAGTTTCGTTCTACTCGTTTGACCGGCATCGAATGGGGCTGGCTGCAATGGAAGCGAAGAAGAGGGGGTGGAGAGGGGCGGATAGATTAACGGTGGAGGGAGGGGCTGAGACGTGGGGGGCGGAGGGAGGGGCGGAGGTGTGGAGACCGGAGGGAGGTGCTGAGGTGTGGGGGGAGGGCGCAGAGGCGAGTGAAAGGGGTGAGAGATGGGTGGGAGAAACGGAATTTACACAACCGCATGAGGGGTGGAGGGGGCCTGAGGATGAATATGATGGTGAAAGGCAGGTCTTGGGGACCCACACGTTGCAGTATGGGGTGGTTCATGCAGAGCAGTATGGGGTGGTTCATGCAGAGCAGTATGGGATGGTTCATGCAGAGCAGTATGGGGAGCAGTATGGGGAAGGATACGGGGAGCAGGAGAATTATCAGGTGCAGTATGAGGGGCAGTATCAGGAGCATTATCAGGAGACTTATCAGGAGGATTATCAGGAGCAGGAGCAATTTCAGGGGTATCATGAGGAGGAGTATGGGGAGCAGGTGTATTATGAGGGGCAGAGGAGGCAGGGGCGGCAGGTGGTTGAGCAGGAGTATATGGAAAGGGGGCAGTACGGGCAGCAGCTGGCATTTGAGGGGCAGCAATTCGGGCAGGAGCAGCCGTTTGAGGAGGGGGAGTTCGGGCAGCAGCCGCCTTTTGACGGGCAGCAGTTCGGGCAGGGGTATGAAGAAGCCGGAGGGCAGGGGTATGACGAGGCAGGAGGTCAGGGGTATGGGCGGGAGGGTCAGTCAGAGAAGCAGCAGCGCCAGTGGCAGCAGCAGCAGCAGCAGCAGTGGCAGCGAGAGAAGGAGAAGGGGAAGGGTAAAGCAGCATTGGATGAGTGGGAGTTTGTGTTGCAGAAGAGTGGAACTAGAAGTCCAATGGGGGGGAGTATGCTGGCAGGAGGGCAGGGCGGGAGCGGAAGGGGGGGTGAGGAGAGAGGAGGGGTAGAGAGGGGTGGAGAGAGGGGAGGAGAGAGGGGAGGATGGATGGGAGGAGAGAGAGGGGGAGAAGTGGAGCGAGATGAGTTGGAGGGACAAGGGGAGAGGCAAGGGGATGGGCAAGGGGAGGGGCAAGGGGATGGTGAGGGGAGGTCGACATACTGGGTAAAGCTTCGGCCTGATGAGGAGGAATTTCGTGAGAGGGAATTTCGTGAGAGGGAATTTCGTGAGAGGGAATTTCGTGAGAGGGAATTTCGTGAGAGGGAATTTCGTGAGAGGGAATTTCGTGAGAGGGAATTTCGTGAGAGGGAATTTCGTGAGAGTCAGTTTCGAGAGAAGCAGTTTGCTGCTAGCTCTCATGGGAGTGAGAGGAGTGTGGGTAGAGAGTCTGATTTCGAGCGGGCGGAAGATTTTGAGAGAGGATCAGAGTATGAAAGGGCATCTGAGTATGAAGAAGCAGCAGAATATGAAAGGGGATCTGAGTATGAGAGAGATGGGTATTCGGAGCGGGAGGGAGAGGAGAGGGATGCAGGGGAGAGAGGTGCGAGGGCTTATGAGGAGAGAGAGGAGGAAGGGGAGGAGAGGGAGGAGAGGGAGGAGTTTGTAGATGATGAGGAGTTTCAAGATTTGATCGATGGCAGTGGTGGTGGTGGTGGTGCTAGTGGTGTGGGGATGACACACAAAAGACAGGTTTGTAGGAGAGAGAGGAAGAGGGAGGAGAGGGATGAGTTTGTAGGTGATGATGAGGAGTTTCGAGTGTTGATCGATGGCAGTGCTGCTGCTGCTGGTGGCGGTGCTGGTGGTGAGGGGATGATAGATGAAAGGCAGTTGCTGCACTCCCCACACGAATTGCCCCACTCCCCACACGAATTGCCCCACTCCCCACAGCAGCTTCAGCACTCGCCGCATTCCCATTCCTCCTCTCGCTCCCCATCCTCTCGCCACAGTCACTCTCTCTCCCCGAGTCCCCATACCAGCTCAGCCCGCGCTTACCGAACCAGTTTTGGTCCGGGCAACGCCATACCTGGGACACAGGTTCGGGGAAAGGTGTACAGGTCCGGTTCGGTGAGTGCTTCGGAAGACGAGGAGGAAGGGGAGAGGGGGGATGTGGGGGGGGCTAGGGGAAGGAGTGGGGAGAGAGAGTTTAGGGGAAGGAGTGGGGAGGGTAAGAGAGGGAGCGGAATTTTCAGGTCACTTTCTCGCTCGCGACTTGCTCAGTCTTCCAGTTTTTCGGGCAGAAGCACCGAGCGAAATCTTTCGGGCAAAAGTGCAGATGCATCTGATCTGGACCGGGCAGACTCAGGTGATTTCAGCAGAGTCGGTCCAGGTGGATTCAACAGGGTCGACTCAGGTGAATTCAACAGGGGAGGATCAGGTGCTCTGGCAGGATACGATATGGAAAGTGATTATATGGAAGTTGACTATATGGATGGGAACGAAGACTCGGCTTTGACTCTCCAAGCTCAAATGGTCTCTGGAGCTCCCAGGGAAGGCGGGAGGGCGAGGGAGAGGTTCAGGGAGGGAGGGAGGGCAAGGGAGAGGGAGAGGGAGAGGGAGAGGGAGTTGAGTAGGGGCGAGAGAAATGGAAGAGGTGGGGTGGACGGGAGGAGGGATGGACGGGCTAATGTGAGGGGTAAGGAGGGTGAAGTGCTGGGGTATGGGGATGACAGCGACGGGTATAGCAGTGATTCCAAGGGCCATTCCGACCACGAAAGGCAGCAGCAGCTGCAGCAGCTACAGCAGCAGCAACTTATAGCAAACCAACAGCAGCAACAGCAGCAATCGCAGCAGCAACAGCAGCAATCGCAGCAGCAATCGCAGCAGCAACAGCAGCGGCTTCCCGTTCGTCGCAGCCAAACCGAGATGAAGCGCCCCTTGCTGCTGCCCCGCCCTGCTCCTGGGAAGAGCTTTGCTGCTGCTTCTGCTGCTGGTTCGGCAGTTGGTTCGGCGGTCGGGAAGGCATCAGGCTCGTTTGAAGCAGGCGCGTTCCCCCGTTCCTCCTCTCTGGGTTCCGACCCTCAGGAGCCAGGAGGAGCAGGAGCAGGAGCAGGAGCAGGAGCAGGAGGAGGAGGAGGAGCAGGACAGTCCAGTGGGCACCAGACGTTCCAGCGCAGCTTCACGGACAGAAGACGGCCCATCCTCCCTCCCCACCCTGTTGCCACTGCTGCTGTTCCCCGCGTTTCTGCAAGAGAGTGGCTGGCAGGAGCAGCACCAGGAGCAGCACCAGGAGCAGCACCAGGAGCAGCGCCAGGAGCAGCACCAGGAGCCCCGATAAGCCCCGCTGCAGTAGCATTCCACCCGCAGTCTCAGTCTAATGCGGCCCAGCCTGTCTACCCCCAGGTCAGTGGTCCCCACACATTTCAGCGCAGCTTTACGGATCGAAGGCGGCCCGTCCCTCCTCCGTACGCTGCCGCTCCTGCTCCCGCTCCCCCTGGTGGTGCTGTTCCCCGTGTGTCTGCACGAGAGTGGCTGACAGGAGAAGCAGCAGCAGCAGCGGTCGCAGCAGCAGCAGCAGCAGGCAATCCAGCAACCCAACCTCCACACCCCCGTGATCCCAGTCCTTTGAGCGGTCCCTTGGCTCCCCGTGCTCCCCGCCAGTTCCAGCGTAGCTTGACTGATCGACGGGGGGCGCCGCCTGCCTTTGTTCCCGCTCCTGCTGCTGCCCTTTCTGCTAGAGACTGGATAGCAGGAGGAGGAGCAGCAGCAGCAGCAGCAGCACCACATCACCCTCAGCCCAGTGCTCCCCATGCTGCCCGTGCCGCCAGTGCTCCACGGCAATTCCAGCGAAGCTTGACCGATCGGCGAAGGCCCGCTGCGACCCTCGCTCCTGCCCCACCCGCCCCTGCTGTTATATCCGCTAAAGACTGGATAGCTGGGGCGAGAGTGGGGTTGTCGGCAGGACGAGAGAGAGGAGGTGGGGTAGGGGCTGGGGGGAAGCGGCTGGTGGGAGGGCGGCGGTTACAGAGACAGATGTCGGAGAGGACGTTTAGGGAAGGGGGGAGGAGCGGGTGGGAGAGTGGTGGGGAGGCGAGAGGTGGTGGCGGGGACTTGTGGGGTGATGCTGCTGCTGCTGCTGCAGCAGCTGGTGGTAGTGTTGGTGGTGGTGCTGGTTTTGAGACTTCTGGGTTTGAAAGGCCTCAAGGCTCGGATAGGAGGGCTGGCCCCAGCAGGTTGTCTCGGGGCGATTCGCTTGGTAAGGCCGCAGCAGCTGCTCTTGCTGCTGGTGGTGCTGGTGAAACCATGATCACTGGAGCTGCATTTGTCGCAGCAGCAGCTGGTGGTGGTGCTGGTGATGCTTCTGACTTCTATCGCAGCAACTCCTTAAGGAGGATGAACCGGCCGCCCAAGGACTCGGTGGCTAGACCAGCAGGTGCTTCTGGTGGCGGTAACCTGCCTCGTAACGACTCGCTGGGAAGGGGCGCAAGCGGTGAAAGGAATACCGGTAGTGTAGGGTTGCGCCGCAATGATTCTCTGGGAAGGGCCGAGTTCAGCAGCACGGCCCGAGTCAGTCCCCATGATCATCGCAGCTTCGGCTCAAGCACGAGTGGTGACGGGAGGAGTGCCGGGCTGACCCGTAACAACTCGCTGGGACGTGGTTACCAGGTGCGCAGCCACAGAGCGAGCAGCTGGCATGAGGAAGTGGGAGAGTATGAGGGGTATGAGGAGGAGTCATACTCTCATACGCATGAGGAGTGGTCACAATCCTTAGCACTGCAGCAGCGGCAGCAGCAGCAGCAGCGAATCCCACCCCAGCAACAGCGGCGGCAGCAGCGGGAGCAGGAGCAGGAGGAGCAGTGGGAGCGGCAGGAGCAGAGTTGGAGGCAGATTCAACGGGGGAGCAAGTCAGGAAGAGAGAGAGGATCGGGGAGGTCAGGGCCACTTAGCCGCGGCCGAACCAATGCTCCGAGAGGCCCGGCCATGGTGCATGATGTATATGGGTATGGGGTCGGAGGAAGGGGGGAGGAGAGTGATGATGGGGATGGGGATGGGTATGCGGATGGGGAGGACGATGGGAGGTATGGTGGGGGGGTGAATGTGCTCCCAGTGTCACTGGAGAGAGCAGCTACACTGAATAGCTCGTCGTATGAAAGCCAACGTAGGCATTTGGATGTTACAAACTGGTTACCGCAACCGTCCGTTGCTCCTCCGTCTTCGTTTCACCGGCCGTCACAGCGTTGAGCGGAGGAGCACTTACTATGGCAGTAGCGTGAATGAGTGGTATATCTTAGTGTTTTCTGTGGTATGTGTTACTGGTAGGTAAGTTGTGTGCTCATGCCTAGTTACCGGTAGGTACGGTTGTTATCATTGTAGAGAGTTGGTATGACTTCAGGCAATAGCACCTGACCTGATATTGGTAGGTAGATTGGTGCATATGCTTTGTAGCTTCATGATACATTTTTTTACGACAAGCTTTCATGTTTCTTTCTAGTGTGTTGGTGCAGGAGTCTCTATTATGACAAGCTTTTCATTCGCTGCACCTGCAGTGTGCAAGTGTTTGACTGTAGTTATCCATAAGAGCAGAAAGGTTTCCCTAAATATGAGACATGGTGGAAGAAGCGTGGCCGTCGACGTAATCGGTGTGGACGGTTCGATTTGAAGAGCAATAGCGAATCATCCTCGCATCGCTTGGCAGCAACCAGAAAACACCTCCCCCTCGAAATGGTTCGGTTTGGTTGGCGAGGCGACGTTCGACCATTAGCGAAGCCAACATGTCTGTTGTCCGGTTGCTCAGTTTTAGTGTGGTTCTGCAGGGCACCACACGGCAGGGTCAGTCAGTGAGGAGTGCGTGACTACAGTCCAATTTTGGGGACGTGTATTCTCGTGTCGGTGCGAAGGGAAGAATTCAGAAGAACGAAAACAGTAGCTTCGTTGCTTGCCGTGGTTCGGGGTGGTTGGTTTGTTGGCGGGAGTGGCTGGTTGGGAAGGAGGTTGGAATGGGACATAAAGAGATAGAAAAAAATGTAAAAAACGGCGCGACGGCGTGTAACGTGGTGTGTTACTTTCTGGTTCCACCCACAACACAACTTCGAACAGCCGACGTTGACTGAGCATGAAGCTTGTCGCACGGGTTACCCTTTCCCGAGAGTTGCGAAACTGTCTATTGCTAGCAGCGACTTTCGTTAGAATCGCGAGCAAGCGTCGCACGTTCTCGCAAAGCGCCCTGGAAGTTCCACGCCCCAACACGAGCCTCACTGTTACCACCGCAACTGACGCACACGCACCTCACTTTTCCTCTCCTAGCCGCCTTCCCACGTCTTAGCTCTCGTTCTAAGCCCAATCCAAGCTTGTAATCATGCGGGCGACTAACACACTACTTGTAGCGTCCCTGCGTCGCGCACGCATGAGCCCCGTATGGACTTTACCTCTGGAAATTCGTTAACCGTAGGCTGGCGCGGCGCGTGCAGTCACTACGCGACTCTAGGCCAATGTTAGTGCGGCAGAAGTTCCTTTCGCGAGTAAAACACGCGTGGGACGGAGGCGCAGAGGTTTATTTCACGGCGTGAGAACCTCGCCATTAGGCTTGTGGCCACGTGAGCTGCACGTGACACCGTGAGAAGCCCGTGAGCGCCACGTTAGCAGCACGTGAGCAGCACGTGAGCTGCACGTGACACCGTGGCACCACGCGCGCAGCACCGATAATCGTCCAATCATGGCCCCTCCTGCCCCAGCCCCTATACCTTTCCTATCCGGGCAGCCCCCGTCTTTCGCGCTCCTTCCGCCATGGCCGCTCCCCCCGCGGCAACCTCCGCCGTCCGCTCCCCTCCGCCGACGCGTTTCTGCTCCTCCCCCTTGTCGCGCTCCTCCTCTCCCCCACGCCGTTCTCCCCCGCGCCGTTCTCCCGAGCGCCATCAACATCCTTCCGCGCGCCGTTCTCCCCCGCGCCATCATTCTTCCGCGCGCAGTGGCTTTTCCCCGGAGACGTGGCATCCGCGCACGCGGCGCCCATGAGCGTGCTGGATGTCTTCCGCCCGTCGTGCCCGCTTCCGCCCATGAGCGGACCCTCCGGTGGTACGTTCCGCACATGAACGCCCTCACCCTCCCCTCCCCTCCCCCCCCCCCCCCCCTCCCCCCCTCCTCCCCCCGGTACGTTCCGCCCATGAGCGCACATTCCGCCCGTCGTGCCCGCTTCCGCCCATGAGGGGACCCTCTGGAGGTTCGTTCCGCCCATGATCGCGCGCAGCCTCCGCCCTCCCTTCCCGTCCCTCTCTCCCCATCTTCCCCTCGTTACAATCACACCAACCAGGATGGAGCAGGTGCAGCGATGTGACTGTACGGGGGCCAGCCTACAGGGGTAGCAGGGACCCCCTGGGTTGTGTCGAGATAGTGGCATAAGTAGTTAGGTGTAAGTGGGCCTAGGCTTAGTAGCCTAGGCCAAAGGGGGTCGAGCTAGTTTGTGCCAAGGAGGGAGGGTCGAGAAAAAGAGAGGAGAATGAATGTTCACTATAGCACTAGGGTACATATAGCAAACAAAGAGGTGCACCACCTATAAAGTTAATATCTACACTACAGCTAGAACTACATGCAGGTATAAGAATATAATTCTGACAGGTTGCGGTCAAGAGCAGGAGGGAGGGAATGTGACTGGGCCTCCCAACGCTCTTTCTCCCCTCTCCCCTTTTTAAAATCACGCCAGGATGGAGTGAATGGAGCGATGTGACTGTATGGGGGGCAGCTTTCAGGTGCGGTCAAGGGCAGGAGGGAACGTGACGTGACAGTGCCCTGTGGCATGACTTTCCGCACTGTGCTGTGCTGTGCTGTGCTGTGCGGTGCTGTGCTGTGCTGTGATCTGCTGTTACTCCCAACCCTCCCTCACTTCTCCCCCGTACACACCAGGGTGGAATAGGTGGAGCGATGTGACTGTATGGGGGGCGGCTTTCAAGAGCAGCAGGGACCCCCCAGGGGTGCGGTCAAGAGCAGGGGGGAACGTGACTATACCCTGTGGCATGGCTGTGCTGCTGGACGTGGCTAATGTGTCCCTCGATACTCTACACGTGCATGGATGGCTCAAGTGAGTATGAGGGGAACAGATGAATCTCTTTATTGAACTCAACAATACACACGCAGCACCATTGAGTGGTGCTGCTGGTGGCCCCTGTTGCCGCTGTGCCGTGTGCTGCTACTGTCTGTCACTGTCCCGTGTGGCACGTTTTGAGACGTCTCAAAACACTTCTTCAATCACGTGTGCTGCTACTGTCTGTCACTGTCCCGAGTGGCATGGCTGGGCTGCTGGGCGTGGCTAGTGTGACTCTCGATGCACTACATGTGCACGGATGGTTGAAGCGAGCGAGTGAGAACTAGGAGAGGGAAATACACCGTGAGTTCTCAAGCAACAAAGCAAGGGGAGGCAATGCCACTGTGCCGTGTGGCGTGCATGGCTAATGTGACCCTTGACACGCTACTCGTTCATGGGTGGTTGAACTGAGTGCCTTTCAGTGCCCATATTCAGCATCGTTTTAATACTTCTCGTTACAACCCCTTTATTCGTTATAATCACATCACCCCTCTTTCACCTCCCTCCCTCCACCAGGCTTTTGGACGACAAGCCACGGTTACCACGCATCGAGATCCGCGCCAACTTCATCATAGTCACTGGGCGGCTGACGGTGGGAGAAAAGGACAAGCAGTTTGCCGCCCAGGCACTGTTCACGCTCACGCCCAACAGCGGGCGGCAGAGGAGGGAGTATGGCTTCACGCTATTCCCCCCGGCCGAACCCGCCTTTCCCAGGCCTCTGGGCCACAAGGTGTTTGCGGTGGTGAGTAGTGGTGCTGCGAATGGGGCATTTCAACGTGTCTGCATGCATGCATGTGCTGCTGAGTTGCCTTGCATCAACAACTTCAGCGCGGGTGGCAGGCAGAAAAACGAGTATGCCTTCACATCACACTTTCCCCCCCAGCCCGGCCGACCCCCTCTTTCAATATCACACTCTTTACTCTTGCCTCTGGGGCACATGGTGTTTGCCGTGGTGAGCGTATGAAGGGTATTTTTGAGGCGTCTCAAAAATTCCCCCCCGGCCCGGCCGACCCCCTCTTTCAATACCACACTCTTCATTCTTGCCTCTGGGGCACATGGTGTGTGTCATGGTGAGTGGCTATCCTATCCTATACGACTCAAAAGGAGCAAGCAGTATGGACCTTGAGTAAAAGAACCACCTCCCCCCTTTCCCAACCTTCTCCCTTCCCTTCCTCGCCTCTTCCTTCTCCCCCCTTTTCTCCCCCTCTACCTCCATCAAGGTCGGAGGGCAGGTGGACTTGCACGGCCTCCCAGGCCCGCCCTCCATGCCGGTGTGGGTGTGCTTGAATAAGACGGCGACCGCGGGCCAGACAGAGATCGTGGTGGACGCTGACGTCAGCACATGGCCGGTGGGCGGCGAGATCGCGATCGCGTCTACGAGTGCCAAGATGGACGAAGCCGAGAAGGCGGTGATTGCGGGAGGTGAGTATGGGTGTAGTGCGGTTCGTTTCAGTCTGGTCTGGTTCAGTGCAGCTCAATGTGGGTGGAGTGCCGTGTGGGTGTGGGGGAAAGCATAGTTTGATGCAGTGCAGTGCGGTGCAGTGCGGTGCAGTGCGGTGTGAACAGTGGCATTCCCAGAGCTGCAGCAGCGGCCAGTCAGTGCTGCTGCATCCACCCCCTTTTAACCTCCTCCCTCTTTCCCTTCTCAACCCCCTTTCTTTCTCCTACCCCCAGTCGCCCCCCACTCTCAGGGCTATCGCGTACCCTTCAAGACCCCCTTCAAGTACTCCCAAGGCATTGTCGGACGGGTTTGAGTACCCCCTTTTTATCTCAACCCATCCTGCCATTTTCTTCCCCCTTCAACCCCCAGTTTCCCACATAACACTCACCACCCTCCTCAAGTACTCTCACGATGGCAATCCCAAGGCCGTGCCAGACGGGTTTGGAGGGGCGGTGGACGTGAGTGGAGAGGTGGGGCTGCTGCACCGGAACACAACGAATCATTGTCATCTCCCTGCTCCTTCCCTTTCCCTCTTTTCCCCCTCTCTCCCCCCCAGTTTCCCCCCACCCTCAGGGCTACCGCATATTGCTTTCAGCCCCCCTAAAGTATTCCCACGACGGCAATCCCAAGGCTGTGCCGGACGGGTTTGGAGGGGTGGTGGACGTGAGAGGAGAGGTGGGGCTGCTGCACCGGAACATCGTGATCTACGGAGTGCATGAGACGGGGAAATACGAGCTGGAAGGTCAGTGTGGCTATATTGAAGTGTGCTCCTCCTAGTGGGTGTTGATAGCCAGGGTGAGAGGGGCGGTGGACGTGAGGGGGGAGGTGGGGCTGCTGCACCGCAATATCGTGATCTATGGGACAGGCAAATACGAGCTGGAAGGTCAGTGTGCTGGGGCGGAACCTGCTGGGGCATGCTGGGGCGGAACCTGCTGGGGCATGCTGGGGCATGCTGGGGCGGAACCTGCTGCGCTTCCATGTGTGAGAAGGCTCAGTCTCACCGCGCTGCATCCCTCCGTCCTTCCCTCAACCCCTCTCAGGAGGTCACTTGATGGTGTTCGTGACACAAACCCCTCAATTCATCGAAGGAGTTCAGTTCGCGTACATGGGGCAGCAGGAGGGTGTGCTGGGGCGATGGGGGGTGTAGGTGGGGCAGCAGCAGAGGGTGCTGGGCTAATACCTTGTGCATACTCAATCCCTTCACCGCCCCTACCAGGAGGTCATTTCATTGTCTTCATGACTCAGACCCCTCAATTCATAGAGGGGGTGCAGTTCGCCTACATGGGGCAGCAGGGCGTGCTGGGGCGGTAGGGGGTGTTCTTGAGACAGCAGGGCGTGGTGGGGCGGTAGGGGGTGTTCTTGAGACAGCAGGGCGTGGTGGGGCGGTAGGGGGTGTTCTTGAGACAGCAGGGCGTGGTGGGGCGGTAGGGGGTGTTCTTGAGACAGCAGGGCGTGGTGGGGCGGTATCCTTTGCACTTCCACGTGTGTGGGGTGGGGACGCTCGAAAACCCTTGTCTCACCACACTGCACCCCTCCGTACTTCCCTCAACCCCTCTCAGGAGGTCACTTCATGGTCTTCATGACCCAAACCCCTCAATTCATCGAAGGAGTTCAGTTTTCCTACATGGGGCAGCAGGGCGTGCTGGGGCGGTACCCTCTGCACTTCCACGTGTGTGGGGAGGCGAATCAGAGCCACATCGTGCGCAAGAATGCCATCGTGTATAGCAAGCAGGTGAGTTTGTTTAGTGCGCCGCAGTTACAGCAGATGCTGCTGCTGCCGGTGCTGCTAGTGGTGCTGATGGTATCGCTGGTGTTGTGGGGAGGCGAATCAGATCAGAGCCACGTTGCGCGCAAGAATGCGTTGGTGCACAGCAAGCAGATGAGATGGTTTCTTGGTAGGCTTACTAGACAAGACGGTAGAAGGAAACTGTACCCGCTATTGTTTACTGTAATCTGAGTGCTGGGGCGGTAGGAGGTGTTCATGGGGCAGCAGGGCGTGCTGGGTCGGTAGGAGGCATTCATGGGGCAGCAGGGCGCAGTGGGTCGGTACCCTCTGCACTTGCACGTGTGTGGGGAGGCGAATCAGAGCCACGTCGTGTGGAAGAATGCCATCTCTTACAGCAAGCAGGTGAGGAGCAGAGAGCAAGCGGCAAGCAGGATTCAGGTAATAAGGGTTGAATGCCTGCTGGGTGCACTTGCACGTGTGTGGGGTGGGGAGGCGAATCAAAGCCACGTTGTGTGGAGGAATGCAATCGTGTACAGCAAGCACATGAGCCCACGTGATAAAAGTGCATTTTTGAGACGTCTAAAAAACACACTTTACTTCTATCACTTGCATTGTATTTTATATACGCCGAAAATACAGCAAAGTGTCCTGCTTCCATCCAAACCCCATTCTTTACCATTTGGATTCCTCTCTCTTCCATTTACACCCCCTTCTCAGCGCTGTGTGGAGATCCATGCCACGAGCAACATGACGATTGAAGACACGGTGACATATGAGAGCAAGGGGCACTGCTTGTATACCAATTGTCCCCCATCCCACGGCGACTTACGAGAGCAAGGGGCACTGCTTTCTGGTGGAGGAAGGGTGGGAGAGAAAGGGGGCATTGCCTTCTTAGCATCTACCTCCTTTATCATTTGAACCGTTTTGAACCTCCTCTTCCCCACCCTTCCCAGCCGTGTTTGGTGATTCACGCGACGAGCAACATGACTATCAAAGACACGGTGACGTATGAGAGCAAGGTGACCTGGCCATGCACCAACCCCAATCCACTCAAACCCCTCTCTGTACCATTTTAACCCTTGGCAGCGCTGTGTGGTCTTCCACGCCACGAGCAACATGAGCATTGAGGACACGGCGACCATTGCACCACCCTTTATCCATTCAAACCCTTCTCTTCACCAGATAAACCCTTCCCAGCGCTGTGTGGTCATCCACGCCACGAGCAACATGACGATCGGAGACACGGTGACGTTCGAGAGAGCAAGGGGCACTGCCTTTTTTACGATCCATCCCCTCACCATACCATTCTTACCGATCCAAACCTCCTCCTTTCCCACCTTCTCCCAGCGGTGTGTGGTGATTCACGCCACGAGCAACATGACGATTGAAGACACGGTGACGTTCGAGAGCAAGGGGCACTGCTTTATCGTGGAGGAGGGGTCGGAAAACAACAACGTTTTCAAGAGGAACCTGGGGATCAGCGTGAGGAAAGGTGGGTGGTTTTTAGGCACAAGAGCCTTGGAGTTTCCATGACCCCCCTGAGCAAGGGGCACTGCTTTATCGTGGAGGAGGGGTCGGAAAACAACAACGTTTTCAAGAGGAATCTAGGGATCAGTGTGAGGAAAGGTGGGTGGGGACCGTGTGGAACGGTGGGGTTGAGTTGATGGTCTGTTGGGAGGCATACGGAGGTTGGGGTGAGAAAGTGGCTCCTCACGTGAGAGCAAGGGGCAGTGCTTCCTGGTGGAGGAGGGGTCAGAGAATAATAATGTGTTTTGGAGGAACCTGGGAATCAGCATGAAGAACGGTGGGCGAATTGAGAACCAGGGGGTTGTTGAAAGTCCCCCCAGTAGCATTTGAGAGCAAGGGGCACTGTTTTCTGCTGGAGGAAGGGTCGGAGCAAAACAATGTGTTTCGGAGGAACCTGGGGATCAGCGTCAGGAAAGGTGGGTTGGGTAAGAGGGGCCAAGACGGGTGGGTGGGATGGGACTAGTACCTGCTGGTTGCAGGGATTTTGAGAGACGGGTGGGTGGGTGGGTGGGTGGGACTAGTACCTACTGATGCATTGCCGCAGATTACTTTTGAGAGCTCTCAAAAAACTCTTTACCTGCTCGCTGCTTGCTGCGTGTCGGTTGTTGCTTGCTGTTTCGCTGCCTGTGCATGACTGCGTGTGATTGGATTCCTTGTTGCTGCGTGCCCCTTACATGTGTTTGACGCTCACATGACTGCTTGTGCGCTTCCTGCCCTTCCTGCAGTGAAGGTGGTTATCCCCTCTAAAGAGTCGTACGATAAGCACACGGACGACAAGCCAAGCACATTCTGGATGGCCAACCCCAACAACGACTACATTGATAACGTGGCAGCTGGGTCGGAGGACTCGGGGTGAGTGGGGGTGTGTGTGGTGTGTGGGGTGGTGAGTGCGAGGGGGCTGTGTGTGGTGATGAGGGGTCTGTCTGTCCCAGCTCGTATCAACACCAGTGCCATACTTGTTATAAACTGATGTTTTATGTTTTTATTCGCACCTCCTTAACCAGGTACTGGACAGAGCTTAAAGAGGGGATGCGCGGTCTGTCTCAGCTCTTACCCAACGCCCGCAACAAGCACCCCATAGAAACCAAGTTCGGCACTTACTCGGGAAATGAGTTTTGAGGCGCCTAAGAATCTGTCCCAGCTCTTGCCTTGCACTCCCTTACTTGTTACCATCTGTTGTCTTAACCAGGTACTGGACGGAGCTTAAAGAGGGGATGAGGGGTCTGTCCCAGCTCTTACCCAACGCCCGCAACATGCACCCTATAGAAACCAAGTTTGGCCTTTACTCGGGGAATGTGGCACATTCAGCCAAGTTTGGGTTCCGCTCCTACCCCCACGGCATGTTCCCCTACGCTCCTGGTGCTAGGGTGAGTGCTACTGTGTGTGAGTGTGCCAGCGAGTGCTCTTGCTTGCCGGTTGCAAAGCAGCATTCAGCCCACACCATACATACAGACCAACCAAGTTTGAATTCTTCTTCCTCCCCCGTGGCCTTGACTGTGCGGCATGTTCCCCAACACGCCTTGAGTGTGCGGCATGTTCCCCAACGCTCCTTGTGCGAGGGTTAGTGCACCTGAGTGTGTGTGCACAGTGGAACACCTAAAAATTGCATGTGGGAGCTTGCATGTGGGAGCTTGCATGTGGGAGCTTGCATGTGGGAGCTTGCATGTGGGAGCTTGCATGTGGGAGCTTGCATGTGCATGTGTGCGTGTGTACGTGCAGATGACCCTATCCAATTTCCTCATCTACCGCAATGAAGTTGGGTGAGTCACACTGGGTCAATTTCGAGACACGTCTACACACGCGCATGCCCCACGCTCGACAGTGTGGTTGCGTCTGTGTGCGTGTGTGCGTGCAGATGACCCTATCCAATTTCCTCATCTACCTCATCTACCGCAATGAAGTTGGGTGAGTCACACACTGGCTCACACACTAGCGAAGCGATCCCTCAACGCATTCTTCCCATGACTTTTGAGTCGACTCAAAAGTCACCTCGTTACAATGGCACACGAACACTAGCGAAGCGATCCCTCAACACATTCTTCCGATCCAATCCTCCCTCTCCATCCACATCAAGGCGATGCTCTTCCCATCCACATCCAGACGATGTTTTTTTCCCTTACGCACTCTCTCCCTCCCCCTCCCCCTCCCATCTCTCTCCCCCTCTCCCCACTCTTCCTCTCTCTCCCCTTTCAAACTCCTCCAAACCCCCTACCCTCTTTCAGACACTCGTCTGATGACCATCCAATCCTCCCTCTCCATCCACGTGAAGGCAATGCTCTTTCCCATACCACCCTCCCCTTCTTCCCCCCTCCAACCCCAACAACCCCCTCCCCAAGGCCCCTTCTCCCAGCATGTTTCAGCTCATCACGCATCTCATCACCATCCACTCCTCTCTCGTCATCAGCCATGGCCTCACCTTCCACATCAAGACTATATGCTCCCCATACCCACTCTCTCCTCCTCTTATACCTCTCCCACCCCACTCACTCTCTCCCCCCTCCTCCCCCCTCCTCCCCCCTCCTCCCCCCTCCTCCCCCCTCCCCTCCCCTCACCAGCATGTTTGTGCACATCACGCGTCTCATGACCATCCAATCGTCCACATTCATTGACAATGGTTTGTCCATCCATGTCAAGACAGACACGGGCATCGTTGTGGATCGGTGCCAGTTCATCGGCCGCACTCAAGCCTGCCCTGCTGCGGGGAGGTGAGTGAGGGAAGAAGGGTTCCTGGTAGTACCGCCCTCTCAATACAATCACCCACCTTCGTTTATAACAGTCACTCCATCCACGTCAAGACAGATCCAGGCGTCGTGGTGGACCGATGCCGGTTCATGTGTTTGAAGTGTAGCTTTGAGCCGACTGAAAAGTCATGTGTTTGAAGTGTAGTTTTGAGCCGACTCAAAAGTCATGTGTTTGAAGTGTAGTTTTGAGCCGACTCAAAAGTCATGTGTTTGAAGTGTAGTTTTGAGCCGACTCAAAAGTCATGTGTTTGAAGTGTAGTTTTGAGCCGACTCAAAAGTCATGTGTTTGAAGTGTAGTTTTGAGCCGACTCAAAAGTCATGTGTTTGAAGTGTAGTTTTGAGCCGACTCAAAAGTCATGTGTTTGAAGTGTAGTTTTGAGCCGACTCAAAAGTCATGTGTTTGAAGTGTAGTTTTGAGACGTCTCAGAACCACACTTCAAAGACAGACACAGGCATCGTGGTGGACCGATGCCGCTTCATTGGCGGCACAGAAGCCTGCCCTGCCCTGCCAACTCCTGCAGAGGCCAACTCTTGTTGTTTTAGGACAACGAGGCGAGTGCCATGGGTTTGGTGGGAGAGAGGAGGAAGGAAGGAGTGCCTGGTTGAGAGGCGGAAGATTCCGAGAAAGAGGCAACCCATGGGGGAGAGGTTAAGTGCGCTAAGTTAGAGAGGAGTAAGGAGTGCCTGGTTGAGTGCGTTTCGTAGAGAACCAAAGTCTCAAACTCTGCACCTTTCGTGTCTCTTCTTCTCCCACAATGCTCCCACACACAAAACCTTCCCACCCACCCGCAGCAGAGCCAAGGCAGCTTCACTCACAGCAGCAGCACAAACAGCAGCAACACCATCAGCAGCAACACCATCAGCAGCAACAGCAGCACAAGTATCAGCCGTTGTTTCTGACTTTGGCCCTACAACGGACTGGCAAGCCCCAGGCTTGGTGGGAACGGGGTTAGAAGACAGGCTCGGTAACACTGCTGCCAGTTCTTCCAAGCCTACCGGGGCTGTTGCCAAGCCTGCAGGCTTGGGTTTTGCAGCAGAGGCTTGGGAGGGGCCAGGAGGGGACGTGGGAGGGGAAAATGAGGGGGAAAATATGGGGAGTGAGGGGGGAGAGGAAGGAGAATCTGAGCCATTGGATTGGGTGTCACTGCCTGTGGACCGTTCATTGGCCCTGTCTGTGTTTGATCCGCATCCAACGGTCAGCAGCGTCGATCCGAACCCAACGGACGGCACTGATCGAAGCAGCTCCAGGAGCAGTGATGGTGGCGGCGGTAGTAGCAGTGGCAGGCGTGGGGGAAGGAGGCAGAGAGGGGAGAGGGGAGGGGGGAGGAAAGTGGGGAGGAAAACGGGGAGGACTGGGATGAGGGGATGGGGAAGTTGGGGGAAGGTGAGGCAAGGGCGGAAGGGGAGAATGCTGGTGGGATGGGGGTCCTGGCGGAAGGATGGGGGGGGGGAAGCGGGGGAGGCAGGGAGAAGATTGCTGCAAGTGGGTGAAAGGCTGCACGTGGGGCACAGGCAGCTTCTGGGTGATCCACAGCACGTGGGGCACAGGCATCATGTGGCGAAACACATGCACCAGCAGCAGCAGAAGCGTTGGGGGAATCACGTTGAGCGGCGTTGGCATGTGAAGGAGGCGTATGGGTTTCCTCAGGGGAGGCAAACAGGAGGTGGTGGTATGCTTGGTGGCCGTGACAGCAGCAGTGGGAGGAGACGGAGGAGCAGCAGCAGTGGGAGGAGGAGGAGCAGCAGCAGTGGCGGCGGGGGTAGCAGGAGCAGAAGCAGCTACAGCGACAGTTACAGCAGTGGCAGCAGCAGCAGCAGCAGCAGCAGCAGCAGCAGCAGCAGCAGCAGCAGCAACGTACTCGCTAGTAGCACGTCTCAGTATTATTTCGGGAGCTTTGAGGCGCCACTGGGTGTAGTGATCACACAGATATCGCCTCGAGACCTGCTGGAGCCAAATAAAATCACCAACTCATGGTAAGGTTACGTCGCGGTTACAAATATCGCGGTTACAAATATCGCGGTTACAAATATCGCGGTTACAAATATCGCGGTTACAAATATCGCGGTTACCACATCTGTGTTCGTAACGTGAATCCCCCTGGTGTTCACTCTGGGTGTAGCGACAGCACAAATATCGCCTCGAGACCTGCTGGAGCCAAATGAGATCACCAGCTCATGGCTAGTTACGTTGGGGTTACCACCTCTGTGTTTGTAACTCTGAAACCCCTGTAACTCGTCAGGTTCTCATCCTTTGGAACATGCAGAGCTAACCAGCCATCCCCGCTACATGCAGAGGATACTCACCCATGAACCCATCCCCTGTGACATCCTCCCTGTGACATCCTCCCTGTGACATCCTCCCTGTAACCATCACTTGTAACGCTCACTTGTAACGCTCACTTGTAACGCTCACTTGTAACGCTCACTTGTAACGCTCACTTGTAACACTCACTTGTAACGCTCACTTGTAGTAACGCTCACTTATAACCCTCACTTGTAACGCTCACCTGTAACCTTCCCCTTTCCTCTCTGACCCCTCAGGTTCTCGTCCTTTGGCACGTGCAGAGCTGCTAGCCCCGCTGTAATGCCTCCCTGAGCCCATTCCTTTTCTCCCCCCTCTCGCCCTTCTTATCCCTCCCTGATGCCCGCGTCCTGTACCCCCCCTTCACCTTTTGAGACGTCTCAAAAGTCCTGTACCCCCCCCTTCACCCACCCCACCCCTTTCGTGACCCATCAGGTTCTCCTCCTTTGGCATGTGTAGAGCTGCCAGCCCCGCTATAATGCTCACTCATGAACCCATCCCCTCCTATAACCCCCCCCCCCTGTAACCGCCCACTGTTATCCCCTCCGGTAACTCCCCCCCTCTCCCTTCTCCCCCCCTCTCCCTTTCGTAACTCCTCAGGTTCGCGTCCTTTGGCATGTGCAGAGCTGCCAGCCCCGCTATAATGCCCACCCATGAACCACCCACCCCTTCCAGTAAACCGCTCCCCTCGTGACCACCCTGCAACCCCCCAATGTAACCCTCACTTATACACCCCTTCCCCCCTCTTCACCCCCCTCCCCACCCGCCTGTCTGTGACCCATCAGGTTTTCGTCCTTTGGCACGTGCAGAGCAGCCAGCCCCGCTATAATGCTCACCACTAACCCGTATGGTGGATTCTGGACTCCCTCCACTGCTGTAGAGGTCAGTTGTTTCATGCATGCATCTAGGCATATGCACATACACATATATCTATGCTTTTTTGAGATGTCTCAAAACTATGCATATACACATACACATATTTCTATGCTTTCTCCACCTTGCCTTCTCCCCCACCTCCTCCAACCTCCACTGACCATACATGCTTTCTGCAACCACACTGCATACACCTCTCTGTCTCCTCTCCCAAACGTATGACTTTAGAGTCGATTTGAATGTCTCCTCTTCCGATCTACATCCTTTCTGCAACCACACTGCGTACACATCTCTGCCACCCCACTCTCTCTCTTCCTCTCTCTCCCCTTTACTCTCTCCCCTTTACTCTCTCCCCTTTACTCTCCCCTACCGCACCTTCCGCCTCAACCCCATACACAGGCTCGTTTTGCCAATGACACCAACAGGCTCTGGCCTCACACTCTCTTCCTCACCTTCTCTTCCTCACTCTCTTTCGCACCCACCCACCCCCACCGCACACACGCAGGGCCTACGTTTTGCCAATGATACCAACAGGCTCTGGGCCTCACCCAACCCAGTGAGTGTTTTTCCTCATGAGTGTTTTGGCATCCAGTCACACGCGAGTCATTGTGCCCAATAGACATGTGCCTTGAAATTTGGTTTCTAAACATTGTGGCAAGCGTTTCTCTTGCTTCCTCTTTTTCTCGCCTCCCTCGTTCTCTCACCTCACTCTTGTGTCCCTCTCTCGTCTCCTCCACTCCAGACCTCTGGCTACATTCGATCCGGTGCCCAGCTTGCCAACTTCTATGCCCTCTGGGACTTAGATGGGTCTTTGCTGGGAAGCAGCAGCAGCAGCAGCAGCAGCATTAGCAGTTCCTCTAGACCCTCTTCCACTGCCTCTGGTTTCGGCTTTGCAATAGCTCCGTTCGATCCCATTCTCCCACCTCTCTCTCTCCGCTCCTCCCCTTCCTTCGCCTGCTCCTACCAACCCTCCTGGTCCGCCCATACCTGCACCGGACCTGCCGCCTGCTTCCGATCCTTCGCTCTTTTCTACAACGAATCAGTCACCAAGGATCAGACCGCGAATCTAGGAAAGGACAAGAATCGCCGCCCGTACAGCTACGTTACTTTCACGCGGTTACAGGATAACGCGACGTTCGTCTCGGTGGGATCGGATAATGATTACGATGACGATTTCCCCAAACGGTACGGCACGTCTCGGCCGCTTCTGCGGCAGGTCACTGCGACGCTACTGGCTGGATTCTCGTACCGGGTGACGATCCAACGGTCGGAAGTCGGCCCTGGGTTTTTCTACCCTTCGACTGTGCAGCTGATGGTGCTGGATGTCAGGGGCTGCACTGGAGGGCTGACAGTAATAATGGACACTCCATCAAACTCGCAGGATAAGCAATGGAGCGTGGTGTCTAATAACCCTGAAGCGTAAGCATTCTGTAGTTCCCTGTCTTCTCCTCCTACCCCCCTCCTACTCACCTCATACCTCCCTCTTCTTACCCCCCTCGGCAACATCTTACTTTTCCCACTATTTATTGGCATCTTACTTTTTTCCTGTCCAGCCCTTGTTCCTTCCACCATTTCTTAGGATGCATACTGTAATCTACCAGTCCCCTCCTTCCTGTGAACTCCCTCTCTCAATTCCTTCCTCCCGTCAACTCCCTCCATCTCATTTCCCGTCTTCCTCTCATTTCCCTCCTCTTGCAATTTGTTTCTCGCAGGCCTTGCCCTGGAACCCCAGTCAACTCGTCGATAGCTTATCGACGTTCCGCATGCATCAACGGGAAACCGATGCTGGCCTTTGACATTGGCAGCACAGCGATTCGCTCTATAGCGAGGATAGAACTCGCTAAGAGCACCAGTGGCAGTACATCTTGCACCACTGCCAGGTGAGGTTATGTAGTATGCAAGACATGTGTATGATATATAATTCTCCATTGTACTAGCAGTCATTCACTGAGTGATCCTTGGGCTGTTGTGTCCTTGTGCAGGTGCTTCATGAGCCCAAGAAGATTTGAAGGGTTAGATTGATAATTTATTTAGCCAAGAGCACCCAAATGGCAAGGAACAAAAGAAACACACATGGCGTTGTTTATATATGCTTGCTGCAAGTAGTTACTGAGAGCTATTTATACCTCTTATAAACAATTTTACAGGCTTTAGTTGTAATATTTAATCAGGGGATGATGGACAAGGGGGTGCTTCTAGATCCATTTAGACTAGTCACTATATATGTGGTTACGCAGCTTTGACTGTGTTCAGCTTGTGCAGACGGATTTGTGGGACAATCGAGATTCTCAATAAAGCACACATTCGACCTGTTATCGTCTGGCAACTCGGCGGTTGTGACTAAAAAGACGCGGCAGGTGATTGTGTGAAAGGCTGACCGAGCCTCGGCTCTTTGGTCCAAACCTGTTCCACAAACCGTCCTGACAGATTTCTTTTGGAGGCCCTGCTTGTCCCGGGATTTGAAATTAAAAAGCACACTTTCGTAACTACCCGCCTCACATGTGAGGTTTCGTTGTACGAAGATAGTTACGAGTTCGCCGCCCTTCCGTGGTTAAGCGTCAATATTTCTGGAAATAGAGATGTCTGCGAGGTGAATGACACACCTAATAACAAACTGCGCTCGAGTTTTTTTCAGTATGGAAGCATGTAGCATACCTGCCCGCAGACCCAACAAAACACATGCCTGAACGCACGTCTATTTCAGAGGCTCGGATGTGGCTCCAAGCCGCGATAATCTCCCTCGCGTCGGCCCTGGGAAACTGACGGCTCGGCTGTGGTCAGTGCGCTTTGAAATGTCAGGCTGCCCAGTTGATTTGGCTTTGGCTGTTTCACGCGGCTCTCCCTCACTCGTCTGTATCGACCCAAATCTTGAAGTGAAACCTCTCTCTCCAGACCAGACTCCAACCCACCAACTACCATTCATCAGTCCAATCCAGATTCTTCTTACCTCCACCACCGTTCCTAGTAGTACCGTGAATCTCTGTCACTGCCTACCGCAGTTTACCAATTATAATTCCGCATCTTGGGTTTCCGGCTTATGCTCCAGAGAATAGGTTTGCGAATTTCCGGCGAAGCATTGTCATCAAATCAGCGAGTTGGCCATACACGCATAGACAGGCTTTGAGAAGGCCAAGCAGAAGCAGAACCGTCCGTCGACCAACACTCCACAGAACAGGCCCTTCCGAAATATAGCATCTCCCAGACCAGTCAGCATGGGCGCCGAGGCGAGCAAGGCGAGTCCCAAGTCGATGCAGCGGACGCATATGATGGTGGAAGAGAACCGCGTCATGCTCTTCAGGTAAGGCCGTCCTCGACATTGTCGGTTCCATAACTGTCTATTGCGATGTTTCCATTTTTTGTTTTCTCTCTGAAACGGTCTATTCCCATTCCCTCATCTCCTCGCGGACCGCTTGCAGTAAGTTCTCCTCAACCCCAACTGAGCGTACTACTCCCTTCCTACCCTTGCTGTCTTGTTCCTTCCTTACCTGTCCGTCCCCTCTCGACTTCCCACAGTCTCTCCTACGACCCTTCATTCACGAAGGTCAAGAGCGTGCTGCAGGCTTTCCTGACCTTCTCCCGTGTCTTTTTTCCTTTCTGACTTGTTCTTTCCGTACATGTCTGTCCCTTGTTGACCACTTACAGTAAATCATACGACCCCTCGTCCATGAAGGTCAAGAGCGTGCTGCACGGACTCGGCGTGCGACCCAGTGTAAGTCGAGCCAATGGTGTACATTGTGTAATTCGTATTACTTATAGTTCTCCCTTCCTAGTACCGTGTAACCCCATCAGTATTGCTCTCCCCTCGTAGTTCAGTTCCTGGTAGTGCTCTCCCCCCTTAGTACTTTTAACCCTATTCTTAGTACTGACCCCACCCAACTACTGTGCAACCCTATTCCTGGTAGTTCCCCCCCCCCCCCCCCCCCCCCCCCCTCCTCCCCCCCCCCAAATACTGTAAATTCTTATTCCGAGAAGCCCTGCCCTGCCCTCCTGTCCCTTTCTGTGACCTTCTGTGAGATCTTGTGGAGGTTTCCTGTTACATGTCCCTCCCCCCCCCCTTCTTATTGTTTTCCACAATTTGCAATCTTTCTTTCTCACCAGGTTTGCGAGCTCGATAAAGAGTATGATGGCGAGGAACTGGAGGACGCTGTTGCGAGTATGATTGGTTCGCATACGATACCCGCCTTGTTCATCAATGGACGTTTCGTTGGCGGTATGGATGGTGAGTAGTATCTTCGTTCATTCCAATGTTTAGAGGAATTATTGTTTTAGTGCTGCTTGTAGCGAGTATGATTGTGACACATATAATGCCCTCCTTATTCATCAACGTACGCTTAGTTGGCTGCGCAGTGGTGGGTCTCATCTCATGGACCCTCAACCCCCCAACTTATCCTGAATATGATTGTTCATACTGCAAAGATGACTTTCACGCACAGTGTCTACCTATTATTTTCACATTCTTTGTCCATCTTTCCTTCGATGGGCTCTTGAGGTAATTAGCACCATCACAATTCTCCCACCCGTCATTCACTACCTTCTAATGTTTGTTCATGTTGCCTTCCCACTCTTTCGTGTGAATGTTTGATTATCTTTCCATTCCTCTTTGCTGTATCCCATACATGCTCAGCATGATAGGTAGTCTCCTGGATCCGTTTCCCCGGTACGTGTTAACATATGAAATGTGTGTTCTTGACATGCCACCCCCCCCCCCCCCCCCCCCCCCTCTGTCTCTGCCTCCTTTTCTCTGTGCTACAGACGTGATCAGCATGAACTACAACAGGGATCTAATCCCCATCCTTCAAGAAGCAGGCGCACTTGCATACTAAACCCGCTACTTCTGTGTATAGGTTTCAGGGGTTAGTTTTATTCAAGATAGGTGGTTCATTTTTATGCATGCCAGACGGTCTTCTGCAGCTACGGTAGTCAAATTAGGCTGCTTCCACCTAAGAAATTCCAGTACCGACTCTATTTCTAACAGCACCGAAGCATCTGTTTAAGCGGGAACGGGAGTGGGCTTGTCGTTTCCTACGCGATCTTTGGCGAATTGTCACACTGCCTAGTCTGGTCTAGGTCCGTCACTCGCGACTCTTTCGCGACTCGCGAGCCCTTCCCATTCACCCGAGGACCTTTTGTTCGCATGAACCACCCATCCGAAGTTCACAGTTCCGGTGTCGGAAAGCTTCGCTTCGCACCCCTGGGACTTCCAGGCGGAGAAGAAATTTTCCTCCTACGAACCCCCTCCCATGCCCCACGGTGAGGTCTTTTCCGCCACAACATTCCCCCTGAGGCCCAGCTCCCCATTCTTTCCGCACCCCACCCAAATCGCAGCATCAGTGCAAAGCGCAGATTGCGCAGTTGCAAAACCCGTGCGGAGCCAAAGCACAAACTTGCTTCGGGATCATGGTTACAAATAAGGTACTGGCTGCTACTTGATCGCACAGTACCACTTGGTTTACATTGGAATTGATTTGCGTTGAGTACCAGCTGGGGTGAGACGTTGCTGCTCTACGTTGCGCCTCCTTCAATGGCGGACTGGGTAGTCCAATAATTGTGCCAAGCAAGCTGCGCGTCGGCTTAGACATTCTTAGTCATGCTGGGCAGACACACCAATAATTGTCCGCTCAATTTTTTCTCTCTTACGTCCCCACCTTCCCTCCAGGATGTTGCGTCGCAAGCTTCGTCGTCGTCCAGATGCTCCGTGACACGCGCATGCTGCGCGAACCACCTTGGCGTATACACATGACGCCTAGTCCATAGTCGTTCCCCACACGCTTGGTTATAAAAGGCGAGCTATCCAGTCCGGTAATACGCCAAACCCAGCCCAAAACAAGCTCACAGAACCTTCTCTAGATCCCCTGCTTCCTCCCTTTAGTAGTCTCTCTGGTGTCGACTTTCGACATTTTTTTTCCCACTTAATGGCTCCTACGCTCGCCCGAATCTGCTTCGTCGTCGCCATCGCGATCGAAGCCTCTGTTACTGTCGCACAAACGTGCTCGTGCGATGCATGCGATACTTCGCCCCCTCCGTGCTACGCCAGCAGGTCGTAATACGGGCTCCGTGCGGATTCTAGCACTTTAAAGCCCGATTTTCTAATCCAGCAGTCGACCTTTGAGCTACCTCATTCGTGAGCCCGCTTTAAGTGCAAAAAGGAGAAATCATGCTCATTCGTGAATGTGGCACTATACTACCCCTTCCGTCCGTCATGTGCAGATGGTATATGTGGTGGAGGAAGGACGACTGCAGCGCACAGACACTCTGGAACAACGTCAAGAACTCGGATGACGTCAGGAGCAGTGTATTTGCTATCTGGGGCCCCGGAACCCCAGGAGCCAGTAAAAGGTTCCAGGATTTCGTCCTTATGGCTGCTAACAGCAACAATCCTGATTGCGTGAAGATTTACCTTCTGGATTGGATCAAGTGCAAGGCTGCTGTCACAGACTCGGCAGTTCAGTTCTACAACTCTGCGTTGGGTGTTGGCGTGACCAGTATCAAGGACCTGAGGAGCATGGCCGGAATTATGACCACCATTATTAAGAAGATTGGCCAGGGCGTGTTCAATACTCTTGCAGAGAATCTGAGGCAGGGAGGCCTCGAGGCTCAGATTGTCATGGCAGCAAGCTGGTGTTAGGCAGAAGACAACATGGATGCGTGAAAAGCAGCATGGGAGTGAAGAGTTCAATAAAGCTTTCATTTATAGCTATCTGGGTCTTGTGATCAGGGGGAGGACACTAGTCCTGTTTATAGACCTGTCTGGTACAGCATTGTGGTGTGGTAGCTATAGATGGGATTTGTGAAAGCTAATTGTGGTTTTACAGATGATGAAGGGAGTGCATTCGGTACCATCATGTATGTATTAGAAGAGCATGCAATGGTCACGAAATCCAAAGGAGAAAGAGCAGAACCACGAGGATATCCTCGCCTAGAGACATCGCAGTAGTGGAATAAGTAGTAGGGGTCATTGGCAGTTGACCCGTCGGGGGTCAACTGCCAAGTTTCCCCGATGCTTCGAAATGTTTGACTCGGGCAGCACGTTTTTGTGAAGTGTGTTCTTGTCTCACCATAAGATGATAACCACAAGTCGAAAACGGGCGTGTTGTTCGTGCAATGCTCATATTTGCCCCAGTCAACATCTTTCTTCGGGCAGAACACAATCAAGGTGATAGGATGCCATGCCATGGTGCACTGCCCAGGTCATCAAGAGTTGTGCACGTCTTACTCGTTATTAAGTTGCATATTCGTTCGTTTAGCTCATTCGCGAAGTCCGTAATGTGATGCAATCACAGAGTGGACATTCCCGTCGATAGTGGTTGTGCACGTAACGATTGTGTGCACAAGCGCCTCTGGCGCTGTGAACAAAGTGTAATTTTGACATATAAATCATATTGCAGCTGTCCTTTCCTGACTGATCTCGACAGGTAGAGTCCAACTTTGACAATCAATCCAGTGCAACAATAACCTCAAATTCGGTGTATAGGGCTCACCTTTCCTTTCCCTGCCTTCTCTCCTTCTCAATTCGGAGAATTCCAGAAAATGCTTCCTCGTGACTGGCTCCCCGTTGACTGATCCTAGGGGCAAGAGCGGGACCGCCATTTTGACCGACGCTTTTACTCGGGGCTCCTCCCTCTTGTATATATTCGTTCTTTCCTTCACTGGAGGGAGTAGTTCTTTCTAGTTTGGTGGGTTAGCAACTTCTCTCTGGGGAAAGCGCTTCGGCGGTGCTTATTTCTGTTCGCGTCTTCTGGCAACGCTTCCTGTGGTCAAAATAATCTTGCTCAACGGTGATTTTCCCGCCATTTTTCCAGACCTTTCGCGTTACCTAACGATTTTTTTTTTCGGAAGGATTCTAGCAAGCGAGAAGCTCCAGCTATCGTTTAGAATTTGCGTTCCAGTCAATAATATTTTCGTCTTCAACTTCGCAAAGTCTCTTCGACTTCAGTCATTCTCCGACCGTTTTATATTCCGCATTCAGCTAATTTGTTTTCCACCGAATTCTTGTTCGCTTCTACTAATCCCCTGTTGACTGATTCAGGCTTGGCTCCCCTCCCGCCATGGCTCGCCTGACATCATCATGGTGGATGCTGACGCTTCTGGTGATTCTCCCGGCGCTCACCACGTCAGCTATCGCGGCGGAAGCTTCTGGCGAAGCTGTTACGGAGCCCAAGCCGGATCCCGTTCCCATCACTCCTCCTTTTTCGGTAAGAGCACGAATCCCCCTTCCTTCCTGCAATTTCTAATTACTTCTGAAATTGGTTTCATGTTGCTTCAGTCTTGCTGTTTGGAATCAACGTCTGCTTCTACCCGCCGTCTTTCTTGGTCCTTACGACCCACAGTCTGCAAATACTCCTCCCTTTCCATCGCCGTCCTCCTCCACTGTTCGAGTCGCCTCAAAATCATTTTCTGCCCTTGTAACCTGCAAATGACTTCTCTCCTTTCGTCGTCGTCCTTTTGTTTGTCTGTTTTTTTTTTTTTTTTTTTTTTTTTTTTTTTTTTTTTTTTTTTTTTTTCGCAGGGGAATGAATTCGTCGTGCCCCAGTCCTTCCTCTACCCCATGTTCGGCCCTCCTCACCCCGATGGTCCCACTGGGCCCGGCGGCCCCAGCGGCCCTGGCGGTTCTTGGGGCCCTGGCGGTCCCTGGGGACCTGGTGGTCCTGGGGGTCCCTGGGGCCCCGGGGGACCTGGCGGTCCTGGTGGTCCCGACGGTCCCGGTGGTCCTTGGGGCCCCGACGGTCCTGGTGGTCCTAGTGGTCCCGGTGGTCCCTGGGGCCCTGGTGGTCCCGGCGGTCCCGGCGGTCCTGACGGTCCCGACGGCCCTCCTCGCGATCCCTTTGACGGCCCATTCTTTCGTCCCGACAGGCTTGACGGGTCCGACAGGCCAGTCCGGCCCGACCACCCCGACAAGCCTCATCGCCCCGACGGGCCCGACAGGCCTGTCCGCCCCGACTGGCCGCACGGCTCCCCGCGCGTTTTTTTCGCTTCCGCCGACGCCTCAGACGAATCCCGCCGGGGCGGACCTTTCGGCCCATTCGAGCCCCCGTTCGGCCCGCATCCCCCCTTCGGTCCGCACTCGCACCCGCATCCGCATCCGCCGTTTCCGCCGCCTCCCCCTCCCCCCGGCGCGATTCAGCTGACGTTTGAGCTGCTGGCGGCTGTGGGGCGCGCGATTCGCGTGCTGTACAGGCCGGGCGCAGAGGCGACAACGGGGGAAGAGCTGACCTGCGGAGGTGAGGTGGTTGTTTGTTGTGCGGTGCGGTGTGGTGGGGTGTGGTGTTGAGCGGTGCGGTGTGGGTGCCTTGTTTTAGCTGTTGACCGCTGTGGGGCGCGCGATGGGCGCACTGTACCCCCCCTGTGCGGAGGAGGCAAAGGCGGAAGAGGTGACCTGCGGAGGTGAGGCTGCTTTCTGCCTGGCGTGGTGGGTGTGGTGAGCTGAGGGTTCGAACCTGTGGGTGCATTGTTTGAGCCGCTGTCCCCCCTCCTCATCCTTCCTCATCCTTCCCCATCTTTCCTCCTTCCGTCTCTCTCCATCCCTCCGCGTCTTTCTCCCTCTCTCCCTCTCCGCCTGTCAGAGTGCGTCACGAGGGTGACTGAGATTCTTCTGAGGGCTCTCTCTAACGACATTAACACCACCATTTGCGCTGAAGACGCGCCTGCAGCAGCAGCAGACCCTCCCCACCGCCACTTTGTGAGTTCCTCCCTTAGCCAGCCGTCCCTTCTCTGCCCTCTCTTCTCCCGCTTGCTCCACCTACCTCCCTCCCTCCCCCAATCCGCTTTCCATGCTTTTTTCCACAGGAGCCTGCCTCGTTTTGAGACGTCTCAAAACAGGAGCCTGCCTCCTTTTTTATTTGATTGAATCAGAAGCTCTGAACTGCCCTGTTCTTGTGTTCCATCCCTAGTCAGCCTTTGCCCTCGTCTCCTCTCTCCACTTCTCCGCTCCCGTCCTCTTCTCCTCTCTCCTCTTCTCCTCTCTCCTTTTCTCCTCTCTCCTCTTCTCCTCCCTCTTCTTCTCCTCTCCTAAACTGCCCTCCTTTACTCCACTCCTTCCCTCGCCTCTTCCTCTCCCCTTATCCCACCCTCCACACCCCCTTCCGCATCCCAACAGTGTCGCCTTTGCCAATCTCACCACAGCATCAGCCATCGGAATCTTCTCCAACCTTCACATCAAACCCCATCGGTCTCTGTTTCACCTCCTCCTCTTCTGCAAACGTGCTGATGATTCCCGCCTGTACCCTCCTCTCCCCCTCCTCCCTCCCGTTCCCTCCCCAACCCCCCCAACAGTGTCGCCTCTTTGCCAACCTCACCACAGCATCAGCCATTGGCATTTTCGACAAGATTCACATCAACCCGCTCTCCATGGCTGTCTCGGTCTGTGCCAAGTTCGGGCCCTGCATGCCCAAACCTCACGCTCCCGAAGCGAATTCCGAGGCTGCTACCGAACCTGAGGTCCTGGTTGAGGAGAATGATGTTTCCGAGCCTGGTGCCGAGGCTGATACGGTTGAGGTGCTTGCTTCGGACGATGCACCTGTGAAGGTAAGTGCTTTTTCTGAGAATCCTGGTCCTGATATTCTTATTGTTCCCTTTTTGCTACTACGTTTTTGGCCTTATTTTTCTAATATATTTCTCTCATTATTTCTTGTTACTGATAGCTTCTTGTTTAAGTTTCATATTCACGCGCTCCGTTGGAGCTACAGGGCGTGCCTCGTATCTGTGACGCGGTAATTTCCATCTCACCTTCTGCCTCCTGCTTCCTTCCGTATTTCAGATTTGCGTCGCAACGCCCTCGCGCCGGCGCCTGGGGGTTGACCATGCGCGCATGGACATGGACATGGACATGGGAGGCATGCACATGGCCATGAACCGCACCAGCATGCTGATGTTTCCTGCTTCTTTCCCGGCCTCCTCTTTACTCCCCCAATTCAGATTCGCGTCGCAACACCCTCACGCCGACTCCTGGGCCAAGAAGGCCGCATGGACATGGACATGGGAGGCATGCACATGGCCATGAACAGCATCGGCATGCTGATGTCATCGTCCGTTCCGGAACCTTCCACAGGAGCTTCCGCTGGTGCGGCTGCTGAAGGAGAAAAAGACAGGGAGACGGAGGAAGGGGGAGAAACCTGCGACACGTGCATCATCGAGGGGTTCCATCTGATCGAATCCTCAGTCCGCGCCAAGATCAAGTGGATTTGCAGCCACGCAGAGGACGAGCACGCGCCCCCGCACATCAGGGCTGTCTGCAGGTTTATCCACCAGCACCCGTACCTCGCTATGGTGGTCTCCGTTATCCACATCAAGCCGTGGGAAAAGGTCGTTCCCGCGTGCTTTCACATGGGCGCGTGCAGGCCTCCCCACCCTCCTCCGCATCCTCCCCATGGGCCCTGCCCGCCTGGGCAAGACTGGCCCCCCCCGCCCTGCCCCCCTGGGGAAGACTGCCCCCCTCCTCCCCCCTGCCCCCCTGGCCAGGATTGCCCTCCTCCGCCCTTCCCCCCTCCCGCCTGCCCCCACACTCCCCTCCCCAACAACGCCGTGCCCCTCCCCATCCTCTCCACTCTCGACCTTAACATTTTCCGCCCGCCTCCGCCCTTCCCCCCTCCCTTCCCCCCTCCCTTCGCCCCTCCATTCGCTCCTCCCTTCTCCCCTCCCTTCCGCCCTCCTTTCCCTCCTCACCCCTCCGGTCCTCCCCCCCCATGCTCCCTCTTTGGGTTCCTCCGTGCTGCTGGAAGCTTCCTTGCCCGCTTCCTCGGTCTCCCTCCCCCCCCTCCCCCCCCGCCGCCGCCCTGCCCGGGGAACGAACCTGGGGCGCTTTTAGCTAAGTATTTCTTAGCTGAGAGCCAGATGGTGGGGAAAGCTGTGGCAGAAGAGAGTGGAGAGGAGATTTGGGAAGATGCGAGCTCTGGGATCGCAAGTGCGGATGGTTTTGGATATGCTGATGCTGCTGCTGATGCCGCTGCTTCTGACACTGCTGATGCTGCTGCGGATGTGCGTGCTGATGCTGCAGGACAAGGTCTTGGATCGGACTCTGGGATGGTGAGGGTTATGCTGGATAGCCCTGATGGTATGGCAGGTGGTGGTGTCTAGGTGCCGCCACTGCTGGAGCTGCTGCTGCTGTTGCTGGGGGGAGGAGCTCTAGGGTCAAATTCTGGGATGGTGAGGGGGGTGATGCTGGATAGCCCTGATGGCATGGCAGGCGGTGGTGGTGTCTAGGTGCCTCAATGCTAGTATCAGTTCGTGCCGATGCTGCTGCTGCGATTTGGTGCCGATGCTGCTGGAGCTGCACTTGTTGCTGGGGGGAGAAGCTCTAGGGTCAGATAATGGAATGGTGAGGGTGATGCTGGATTGGATGGCCCCGATGGCATGGCAGGCCGCAGGCGGTCTAGGTGCCTGCAAATGCTGCTGGAGCTGGTGAGGGTGATGTTGGGTAGCCCTGATGAAATGGCAGACAGTGGTTTGTAGGTGCATGCTGATGCTGAGATGTTGAGGTGGTGTTAATGATGTCAGATAGTATAGCACCAAAGAAATGGCACATCGTTGTCTTGTTCGATGTTGGTGTCGCAACATGAAGATGTTCGAATTTGTGCCTCAATGATGATGTTTTCAAAAGTGGGGAACTGGTGTACGTCTGTTTTGAAACGGAAATACACACTGACACCTTCTGGCCTTTCAAGTACAATTTACTGGTTATCATAAACGTTCGCTCTATAGAAATAAAAGGACACGTCATCATCGAATTTTCATGTGATGCTTCCAGAGTGGACACTTAAAACCAGGGTGCACATTCAATTGGATTTCTGTCAAAGGTTAACCTTTGACCTCGGGGTTACTCAGTGATTTAGGAATATCTGGGGGGAGTGTTCGCTTCAGCAGGTGAACATTTGAACCCTCGAGATTTGGCAAATCTATAACGAAGTCATCGAATGTGCTTCCGCCAATTCGTTTCCCCCCTCCCCATACCTATTCCGCTCCCACCGAAATTGTTTCCCCTTCCCCCACAATATCGTCTCACCCCCTTTCCCCTTTCCGCCAACCCAGTTGCCCTCCCCTTGATCCCCAATTTCTAGATCCAAGTGTTATCAATTTCTCCCCTGCCAAGCCTCATCTCTCACGGACGAAAAGCCCCATGCTCGCCCATTCTCAACTATTTATTCGCTACTCGTCAACCAATCAGCAGTTCCCGCAAACATGCCGCCCAAAATTTAGCCTGGAGTCGCGTTGAATGTGTACCCTGGTTTTAACTGTTCATTCCACTCTCTTGTTTTGACTGTTGATGTACATTCAGTGCACTATACTGTAGAAGGTTAAAGTTCCCTCTCTGATTAGATCTGGTCAGTTCAGACACGTCACCAGCTGTTGGCGGTTTTGACCGCACCACGAATGTAGAGGATTTCGCTCGGTGAAGATTTCGCTCTGTTTCAGCTAAAATATCAGCTCCACATGATGTTTCCAAGTGCCAACGGTCATTTTCAGTGTGCATTACGTTACAATAAATTTCAGAATATCCAGCGGCTTGACGTGTCCAAGTTGAGTAGATATTTACTCGTTATTCCGCACAAATGTGTGTGTCGGTGTTCAGTTAAGTCTGTACAGGACTGGCGAAGGAGTTGATCCAGCAAAGGTTGCAGTTCTTTTCAGTAGCCCCTCGCATGGGTGCAAATGATACGGGGGCACCGCTGAGATATAGCCAAATGGAAGACCAAACTAGGTATGCCTTACTTGGGGGGTAGTTTAATGGAGTTGCAAGAAAATATGGTCCAGTGCAAACCTCATCGTGCACGGCTTCGGTTTGGCGCTCCCACAGTCAGTGGAAAAGGACCAATGATATTTCTAGGTTGACCAGACGAGGCAGAACCGTACTGCGGCAGAGCAGAACCGTTGCTCATCAAATATCAGCGGATAGCATGCATTGAAGTTGTAACAGTGCAGTGTGGTGGTTGAGCAGAACTCTCACGAACCCACACAACTCACAGCAGAATCCAACCATGCTCAAAATTGTCACGCTTCGACATAAATATCTCCCATACTCTCATCAATTTCCGTTGTGTAATGCCCACGCTTCAGTTTGTTCTGCTGACACCGCACTGGAGACTGTAGCAATAATGCCAATCCATGCTGAACGTGACGATGATTAGAAACAATCAGGAGGACTCCAGTGTCGTTCGCAAGTGAATATCCCAGCGGAAATGGGTCGTCAAGCCTGACGACCCATTGACGACTTGACGACATGCTGCCTCGGGCAGGAAAAAACGAAAACCCTATCGGGTGGTATGCCATCCGAGGGAGGCATCAACCCTAATTCCATGCCTCCCTGTGTTTAGGGTTGATGCCTCCCTGACCGGATGCATGCCTCGAATGGGTTTTATTTTTTTGCCCGCGGGCAGCGAGCTCCCCCGGGCGGACTCGCTTGTCCGCTGAAATATATTCGGAGGAAGGAAAACGTCAACCGATAGATACATGAACTGTAACATGACCGTCTGGCGGGAACGCGCGTCCCGCTCAGCGGCTCATCAGGAAAGGTCCCTTCAAAGTTGCGAAGGGTTGGGCGAAACGAGACGACATAGCCAAGCTGTTGCGAAGCTGAAATGCCAAAATGCCAGCCGACGGTATCCCTTGAAAGTTCCGGTGGTTTGTTGAACAGCACTGGCAAACCGAAATCCGCCACCAGAGCTGATGGCAGAAGATTTTGAGATTTTTGTCCCAATTCCTTCCATTGGACGGGTCGTATTTTCCTTCACAGCTGACTCTGCACGGTTCAGCCTGGTTCGCAATGGTCGAATACAGTGAAAATTGTAAGTCGTTTTGAACCGTCGTTCAACGATTTGAACTGCGCTAAACAAGCCCTCGATGGTTTTTTATGGCCAACCTACGTTCCTCCTGCTCTTCGCCGCGCGGTAACTTGGCAAACCAGCGCAACACAGGGTGTTGCAGTCGGCCAAATCGCGAACGAGTTAGATGAACCAATTCATAGAGGGGTAACCGAGGGATTCCAGCCAAATCTGGAACGAGGTACCCTGCACGTCATTCCCCGACCAGCTCTCCTTCCTTGCGTCTTGCTTGAATGCTTCACCACCACCACCCCATGCAAAAGCATACCCAACCCAACAAGCCGTGCTTTTATCGCTCTTGATCAAACGCTAACGTCGCGCATTTAGTCTTTATTCCATTTGAGAACCACGCATCAGTATTCTTTGTTGAGTGAACGTCCTAGAAAGCGCTCCGTTTCACCAGAGCCCGTCTTTTTAGTCCAATGCGGACTCTCGCGGAACTTCTCGAAGCCATGTCGCCAGAGGCGGCGAACCCGTCAATGGCCATTCCCGCGAGTCGCGACGATGTTGACGCTGGAGGCAAGCCATTTTTTGCCGCAGAGCCTGAAAAGATGGCGGAATGCCACTTACTTTCTAAGAAAGAACAAGGAGCTGGCTCGGAGTTCTTTTGGCGATCAGACGAGCCGTTCTTTTCGCGAGCACATCATGATGCGGCGGTGCTCGAAGCTTCGCAAAGAACGTGCGAAAATGATACTTCGTCGCGTGAACGACCGAGTCGCCAGTGGTCATCGCAGGAACCTTTCTCCGAGTCGCACTCCGAGTCGCAATCCTTGAAGGAGAACTGGGAATTCCTTCGAGCCGCCTGGAACCAGCAACCGCAGCAGCAGCATTCGCAGCAACGTAGATCATGGCAGCAGCATTTCCACGCTGGGGTGCATTCGCCGCCGCAGCATCCGCCGCGACATCCGCCGCAACAACCGGTGCCACGAACGACGAGCCTGCCTGACGGACACCAGCGGAGATCATGGCAGCACTCTACTGTGCACTCTCCCTCGCTATCGCCCTCAGAACGTGCGCCGCCGCAAGAGCCGCCGACTGTACCACGGACACCGAGCTTACCGCGGCGCGCTGTTTGGCAGCAGCAATGTCACGTGGCGCAACCAGCGCCTCAGCAGCAGAGCGGATATAACCCTCATCGGCGCCCCTCGCAGCCAAGAGCGCAACTGAAGGAGGAACGAAAGGCCTGTAAGGTTGCTGAGCCCGTAATTTTCGGCGAGATTAAAGCGTCCACGGAGGAAGTTGCTGAGAAATCGCCAACGACGATTACTAACGGAGATTTTATGGCGGCTTCAACTTTCGAGGCCCGACCGGGTCAGGAAGAAGCGCGTCGGATATCCGCGCTACTTCACGCGTCGAATCAGGGCGTCATGGTTCAGCAACGCATGGCGATAAGCGCTGCGGCCGCAGTGTCGCGACGAGCCGGTTACGCCGCGACGACGGACGCTGCTCCCCCCGCAGCGGCGGGAGCCATGGCGCAACTCCAAGTCCAAGCGGCTACGGGAGCAGCAGCGATGGAGCTCGAAGAGACGGAGGAGAACATCTCGACGATGATAAGGCGGATTCGTTACGCCAAGGGAGCGCAAACTGCAGCTACTTGCACAGCTACGATCGCTGCTGCTGCTTCTCCGACTGCTGCTGCTTCTGGCGCTGAGACTACTAGGGTTGAAGAAAACGCAGCGTTCAGAAGTTGGGTTGAAGAAACCCTCGCGTTCAGGAGCCCCCATGTTGCAATGTCCGGGGAGTGGAATCATGAGCTCGGATACAGTAATATGGATATCGGTACACCCCGCGGTAGACCTGCTGGAGCTGCTGATAACGCGTACACGCACAAGCGACCCTGGCGTGTGCAAAGCGAAGATGTGATTGAGAGCGTTTCGTGCAACCCTTCGCCTCGCTACACTGTAACCTGCCCAGGCGACATCCTCTCCTCTCCCCCAAGCAGTGCACCTCTTTTTGGCTGCTCCGCTTTTGCAACGTTTGACAACCTATACACACCATTCTCCCAAAAGTCTCAAATGACTACAGCGGCTGCCATCCCCGTTATCAGCAGCTCCAATCCACACAAGCACATTCGGCTGTGCCATAATGTTCCTTCGTCTGTCCCTCGTTCTCTACCTGGACCTGCTGACCTGGCACAACCTGAACTTTCAGCATCAGGGGCTATGATCTGGGCCCCTGCCAGCACTCAAAACACCGCTCCAGTGTTAGGCACCTTTGGCCTCCCTGTCCCTGGCGCAAGGGTGGCATTAGTTGGACCTCCAACAGGTTTTTTCAGCAACAACGGAAATTGGCAGATCAGTGGTGCTTCTCCTGTCGGCATGCAGCTGGGAGTTGAACGTGGTTGCGCTGCTACCTCCAGTGGCCTACCTCCTCTGCGAACAATCCTGAAAGATGCATCGGAAGAGGTGGTAGAAGAGCAACTAAAATGTGACGAGGGTGCTGCAGTCTCAAGGGGCATGGATGATGAGTCAGAGGAGAATAATGAGGGCGAGAAAGGAGATGAATGTGGAGAGGTTTGTGATGGGGAGACGAATGACACACCAGTTCAAAATGATAGCTGCAAGAATAATGAGGATATCTTGGATCTTACTTTGTCACTTGGAGGGGGCTTGTATGTTGAGCGTGGGGTGTAGGCCTTGAGCTGGCTACTGCTATTTCTTGTATATTTCTGCAAAGATCAATGTAGAGCATTCTGAAGTGCTACTGTCGCCTGCAAAATGCTACACCACATCGGGAAACTGGGGATAGGCGAACTCTGGTTACTTTCTCACATTGCTGGGTTGTCGTGACTGTAATTGTCAAAATGCTGGGGTCATATCGCGAACGCCGGCGTCCATGCGACCTCCTTCGTAACCATGCATGCGAACCTCGCCAAGCCATGACGAACCCCCTCATTGCTTGACCCGACGATATGGATGGAAGCAAGCGCGCTTCGCCAACGCTGCGTTGGCGGTGCGATTTGCCAGCGCTGTGCTGGTTGGAGCGATGTTTCTGCAGCAATTTCTCCCTCTCCCTTTCCTTCCCCTACCCTGCTCACCTCACCCACGAACCACAACCACACCGACCTTTCTCCCTACCAAGCGGCCCCTTCCCTAGCATAAGTTCCACAGCACTCATGCACCGGTGGCAGCCTCCCTTGTTTCTCCTGCCAGCAGCAACCTTTACTAGGCTTGACAAGTACAATACGATTGATTTTATGCCATTTTCTTTCTTCCAGTTTCATTGAGGTACCATAAGCCGTCCTAGTAGTAGTTCCATTGCTCTAGTAGCCAGTGACTGCACGCCGTCTGTTAACATATTTCGTAACCATGAGTCGTTTTACTCTATGGATGGCGTTTGTAGCGGCCCTTCTCATCCTTGGATGTGCAGTCACGGTAGCCAATCATGCGTCGAAACCCGCTTCGTCTTCCGAGCTTTCCGAATCCCTTCCGAACCGTCGCATGCTGTCGCCGACGAGTCGTCGCCTGCTGTCGCGCGACGGCGGCGGCTTCAGCGACAGCGAGATGGAGGCGATGCACGACAGCATGTGGCGCTGGCGCAACTCCATGGACCGCTCGCGCCGTAGGGGCGGAAGAGGCGGCGGAATGATGGGCGGAAGAGGCGGCGGCGGAATGATGGGCGGAAGGGGTAAGGCGGAAAAAGAAAACGCGGAGAAGGAAGCTTTTCCCGAGGGCGACTGCGGGGGAAACGGTGGCAGAGAGAGTCAGGAGGCCCCCCATTTGGAGCTGATTCGACGAAGCATGCGAGCCGTTGGATTGATTACGGGAATTTCTGGGGATTCGACGAGCGCCGCCGCCACCTCCACGAACGGTGGCAGCAGCAACACCTTGCGCTTCGGAGGAAGGCGAATGAGTTTTCCTCTCATGCATATGCATCATGGACGCATGCACGTGCCCATGATGGGTATGGGTATGGTTAATATGAACGAACACCCGATGCATTTTCGAGCGGATACTGAACCTTCCGAGGTTGCTCCTCTGCGCAGTTCGACTCCCTGCGCGTTCTTCTCGTCCATCTGTAACTTCTTCCGCCGCGTATTTGGTGCGTCTTCTCCCACAACCGAATTGCCCTCAAACGAGGATACCATTGTTGGATCTAGTGGAATCGGCGCGCAGTATCCTCGGAGAATGATGCGTGGCAGATCAACGTTGGGCACGGTATCTATGAGCACGTTTGGCCTCGTTAATGGCCTTGTTATGGAAAACGATCAGGAGCATGCCATGACTGATGTGCCTGGTATGGACGAAATGATGGGGGATAGGGATGGTATGATGATGGAAGGGGATGATATGATGATGGAGGGGGGTGATATGATGATGCAGGGTGACAGCATCACAACCGACAATGAAAAGATGATGATGCCAACCAGGGATGGCATGGCTGGAAGGCAGATGGATGACAAGGAGATGGAGGAGATGATGGAGGGGATGATGGGGGGGAATTGGATGATGCTGAGAGGTGGCAATGCATAGCTAGTCTTCTTTAGGTGTGTTCTATATGCTCTAGCCTTAGACTATATTGTTTTCCTGCAAGTTGTAAGTTGTACCATAGTGTATGCTATTATCTATTGATTACAAAAAAGAGAACGTGAGTAAGATTGCGGTGCATGTTTCGTCAATCAATCATTTTTTCGACAGGAACTGATGTGATATTCTCGTTGTATGTACATTCTTAAAATATGATGAAAAAAACAAGGAAAACGTAGAAATTTTCGTTCAACCAATAATGCGTTGTCTCTTGAAGTTGGGGATTTGCACAGTTGAGCCTGGATACTAAGCGAGTACGTTCAAATTTCGAATGTCGAATTCAAATTCAAACTCCCACCCCGTATTTCCGAATCGCTTGCATCGCCGACGACTGGTATCCACGAGATTTCGCGAAATATTCTGATGTGTCGTCAAACCTGATCCAGCAGCGATTTCTTATATTTTCTCCAACGATGAACAATTGTTGCGAATCCCGCTGGCGACGATAGGCGAATCATACGAAATTTTCGCACCCCCAACACCTCTGAGGCAGGTGATTTTGGATTTCAACTCCCACCCCTCACTGGCCTCATTCATTGTGTGCTTAATCATTCAAACTCGAGTCACTGCCTTACTGCGAGGGAGTTCTCAAGAATCGCAGTTTCTTTTCACGTCAATCGCAGTCTTGTTCAGAAGCGCAGCACAACATCCCAACGTCCACCTCTGCTGCGAGTGTTTCACCTTCCTCCTCGCTCGAAATCCGACAGGCTAAATCAGCTGCGGCATCACGCGCGACCCGAATCTGCGACAACACGCGCGACCCAAAATGGATCACAGGCCGCCCTCGCTGGCGCATCCCAACAAACGTATCCAGCTTTTGCCGCCGTCCGATGCGGCAAATGGCTCCATCTCTTCGAACCCGATCCGCGAATACGACATGGAATCGGGGATGGAAATTCTGAGAGTCAAGGGACGAGTTAAGTCTCTAGTCAGTATCGGCCATGGCAGTGCCAGTGCAGCAACGAAACCTCGTAATGCCGGTGCCGAACATTCTCGTAAGCTCGACGAGCCGCCGAAAGAAGATGGAGGGAAATCGAAAGCTCTTGCAACCGCGGAAGGCGGAGAAAATCATGCTGACGAGGATAATGGAGTGGCGAAGAAGGAAAAGAAGAAGAAGCTTCGGTGCTCCTTCTGCGATCAAACCAGCTCGGACGAGGTGAGTTTCAGAAAGCACGCGATACGTCCGCAAACAGTTCGGTGAAGTGCTCCGGTGCTCCGATTTCAATATCCGCCATCTTTGTGGCGTCTTATTCTGGAATGCGGGAATTGTGTCGCTTGGCGCTGTCAGCGGCGTGCAATACGATTCTACCTTCCGGTTTTCTACTCGGAATTTCGCTAACAGCATTTTTGTCTCTTTTTTTCTTTCTCTCTCTAACTTTCCATGCGCCAGTCGACCGGGGCTTTGGTGGCGGTGGATGAAAAGGGCGTGGCTTTCGAGCTCGCGGGCGAGTTGAGTCCCAACGAGATATGCGTCCACGAGGATTGTCTTCTCTGGTGAGCTTTGCGTATTATAACGAGGATAGTCGCATGATATATTAATAGACCGGGAATTTGGTGGTGGTGGGCGAAAGGGCGTGGCTTTTGAGCTCGCGGGCGAGCTGAGTCCCAACGAGATATGCGCCCACGAGGATTGCCTTCTCTGGTGAGTTCAGATGCTTATCTCGAGGATAACCGCATGTTATCTGAGTCGTAACGAGATGTCCGTCCACGATGTATGCCTTCTTTGGTGAGATCAGACGCTTATTTCGAGGATAACCACATGATATCGTAGTCGTAACGAGACGTGCGTCTACGAGGAATGCCTTCTTCGCTCAGTTCAGAGGCTTATATCGAGGACAACTACATAAAATTCGAGTCGCGACAAGATATGCGTTCGTCCTTGGAAACGAGGTCCGTCGATTGGACCGATTCATGGACGTGCAGAAGGAGCTGCGCCAATCGCGTAAGCCACCACCTCCTTCGTGCCCCCTTCACTCCCGTGCCCTTCGCTCCGCCACGCCCCCGCAGGTCCCCCGAAGTCCATTTCACCAAGGGTCGGTTCATGAACGTGCAGAAGGAGCTGCGGCGGTCGGGCGGCCTCTATTGCACCGTGTGCGGCGGGCGCGGCGCTGCGCTGGGGTGCCGCGTCCCCGCGTGCCGACACACGTACCACGTGCCGTGCGCGCGACGCACTCCCGGCTGCCACTTCGACGAAGTAAGCTTGCCCGCTTTCGCACAATTGCCTTCCTGCTTGCATGTGTCCCCCGCGCGATGGCACACGTATCACGTGCCGTGCGCGGCGCACTCCTGGATGCCACTTCGACGAAGTAAGAACTTTACCCACCTACCTTACTGCTTGCATGTTTCTTTCGCATTAAACACTACATTGCCGCGTCCCCGCGTGATGACACACGTACCACGTGCCGACACACGAAACACGAGCCGTGCTCGCGGCGCACTCCCGGCTGCCACTTCGACGAAGTAAGAAATCCACGTGCACGTGCACTTGGAGTCACTTTTTTTTATTAGACGTTCGCCCTATATACGCACACTCTCTGTATGCAATGATAGGACGCCTATGTACTCAACTGGCCGGAACACCCGCCCGTGGGCTTCAGACGAAGAAGCTGAAACGCAAGCTAAGGTGCAACTTTAAGCTTTCATCACACCCTTATGTGCACATCCTTTACTTGCACCCCACCAGGACGCCTACGTGCTCTCCTGCCCGCAACACCCGCCCGTGGGCGCCAAACCGAAGAAACTCAAGCGCAAGCAGCCGTCCCCGCCGGCGGCGGCGCCGCATGCGGACGAATCGGACGAGGAGGAGGAGGCGGGGAACGCGCAGGATGCGCGGCGGGGGAAGGAGGACGCCCGCGCGCCCCCCGTTGCGGGGAAGAACCAGAGGCGCGCGCGGACTGGCGCAGGGGGGAGGGGCGCGGGGGCCGGGGGGAGAAAGGCTTCCGCGCAGGGGTCGGATACAGTGGCGCCCGAGGTTCCTGTAAAGAAGGATGTGACTACAAAGGGCGCTGTCAAGGACGTGACCATGAAGGATGTGACTATGAAGGGCGTAGCGGCCATGAAAAGCAAATATGACGATATGGCATGTGTGGCGAAAGCATCAGCTCCTATAGCCAAGGTTCCTGTGACAAAGGATGGGACTATGAAGGGTGTGACTATGAAGGATGACGCTGCAGTGGGGAAGAAGACAGAAGAGAGCGTGGGCAAGGAGCGCAGATCGGTTGAGAGAGGTGAGTCCAACTTCGATAAGGATTTTGAAGCAAAACATTGATTTTGAAATCGGTGTTTGAAATGGTGAGAGGTATGTGAGGCTGCTGATGCAACTCGTCATGCGCTCATGTTGAAATGTATGTGAGGAAATCCACTTTTCGTTTCCTCAAATGTATGCGCATATGTTTTGTGATTTTCAGGTTTGTCTCCTGTAGTATCTTCCGAGAAGATTCCTGTGGAGCCTGCACCCAAAAATGTTACCTCTACCACCACTGGTGCTGGTGTTGCCGCTGCTGATGGTGGCGACTCTGCTGCTGATCCTGTTACTACTGCTGCTGCTGGTGCTGCTGCAGCTGCTCTTCTCAGAAGTACCTCAGAAGTTAATGCCACAAAGAAGGACAAGGGAAAGGGAGTAGCAGAGGGGGACCGTGAGCAGGACACAGGAAGAGCCGTCATCCTTGGAGTGCCAAACGCAATGGCTCCCTGTAGTAGCAGCAAGAGAGGGCATCCCTGTCCTAATGATTTATCCCCCAAGGCTCTGGGTAGCGTCGCTTCTGTTGCTCTTGCTGACGATGCTCCGACGAAGCTGAATCCGCAGGCTCGGGTGACTACTAAAGCGGATAGCGAAGCAGTCTTTAAGGTGCCTCAACCAGTGGTTAAAGTGCCTCAGCCTGGTGCCTCAGAGAAAGGGAAGGAGGGTGAGAAGGGAGAGAAGAGAGAGGGGGGGAAGGAGGTGAGGGAAGTTGAAGCTGCTTTTGAAGAGGATATAGTAAAGGAAGGGAGGGGCAAGGAGATTGGGAAGAAAAATGAATCGGCAGCAGCAGTTGGTGCTGCTGCTGCTGCTGCTGCTGCTACTGCTGTCGGTGGTGCCGAAGTGGCTGTGAGCATTGGAGCAAGCCAGGGGGTTGCAGTGACAGGAGGCACTTCTTCTTGCTCGAGAAACAGCGGCAAGCCTCCCAGGTAAGGGGACGGGAAAAGGTGCGGAATAGCAGTGGTGCAGTGCGGTTGAAGTGACAGGAGACGTGTCTGCTTGCTCGAGACACAGCAGCAAGCCTCCCAGGTATGGAGATGGGATAAAGTGAGGAATAGCAGTGGTGCAGTGCGGTTGCAGTGACAGGGGACACTTCCTCTTGCTCGAGAAAAAGCGGCAAGCCTCCCAGGTATGGAGATGGGGTGTGTATGGTGGAGTGTGGAATGGAGGTATGAATGAAGCGATGCTGGTGCTGCTTCTGATGGTGCTGCTGAAGTGGCTGTGGGCATTGGAGCAAGCCAGGGGTTACAGTGACAGGGGATGCCTTCTCTTGCTCTAGGAGCAGCAGCAAGCCTCCCAGGTATGGGAATGGGATGTGTGGTAAGATGCATGGTGGTATGGGGCCATGGAGAGATGCTGCTGCTGATGGTGCTGGCGAAGTGGCTGTGGACATTGGAGCAAGCCAGGGGGTTGCAGTGACAGGGGACGCCTTCTCTTGCTCTAGGAACAGCAGCAAGCCTCCCAGGTATGGGAATGGGATGTGTGGTGCTACGGGGCTATGGAGCGATGCTACTGCTGCTGGTGTTGGCGAAGTGGCTGTGGGCATTGGAGCTACGCAGGTAGCAGCAGTGACAGGGGACGGCTCTTCTTGCTCGAGGAACAGCGGCAAGCCTCCCAGGTATGGAGATGGGAAACTTGAGGAACAGCAGTGGTGCAGAGCGGTTGCAGTGCAGTAGCGTCACATGTCCGGAAAACTCCCTTCTGTGCTTCCCTTCCCTTGTTTCCCTCCTCACCGGTTCTCTCCACCCATGCTTTGATACCTCCCTCACCGGTTCATTGTTTCTCTTTCTTACCGTCAGTGGGTTCTCTACAGCTGAGCCCTTGTTTCAACACTCACAAGTAAAAACGGGAAATCATGTACTCATTATGTCCTGTGCCCCCTCTCCCTTGTCTCCTTGCTTTCCTGCTGTCTTATTCTCCCTCTATTACTGCAGTCAGTGGGTTCTGTGCGGGTCAGCCCTCGATTCAGCCTCCAAGGTGAGAGCCACAGCTCACAGTGACGTTTGATTTGGTGTGACTGTATGGGATGTGTATAAGCCAATACACGGCACCTTAATTGTGAGCTGGACCCCCACTCTCCCCACACCCCACATTCCCCCCTCTCCCCCCAGTCTCCCACTTCTCCCGCTCCTACTCACCCCCCACTCTCACCCCATCCCCCCTCGCGCTCCCATAGGCCCGCCTGGTCAAGTTTGCTAACGCAATGGGCGCACAGCTGACGTCAGAGTGGAGTCCACGTGTCACCCACCTATTGGTTGGCACGGATTCCGAGGGGAAGGCACGGAGGACGCTCAAGATGGTGATGGCGATCCTGCACGGGCAGTGGGTGCTCAGCAGCAAGTGTAAGTGTTTCATTTAGCAGCAGTCAGTGTAAATGTTTCCGGAGGCTATGTTGTTGGCAGCAGTGCTGTCGCGAGTTATCAGCAACCACAAGATGGTGATGGCTATCCGGCACGGCCAGTGGGTTCTCAGCAGCAAGTGTAAGTGTTTTGTTTAGCAGAAACCACAGCCTCCCCCACCGCTGTGCCTGCTGAGGGACCGTTCGAGGTGCTCTGTGACTCTCATGACGAGACAACCATCCCTTGCCCCCTCTTCCCCTCTCGATGCCACCTCTTACCTTCTATCCCCTCGCCGCTCCGCGCTTCAGGGTTGCCATCCTCCCCCACCGCCACGTCCCTCCTCTCTCCGCCTGCAGAGGGACCTTTTGAGGTGCTCTGTGACTCGCATGACGAGACAACCACCCCTTTGCCCCCTCTCCCTTCCTAGCCGCCCCCTAGCCCCCCCGCCTTTCAGAGTTACCATCCTCTTCCTCCACATCCTCCCCCACCCCCCTGCCTGCTGAGGGACCTTTTGAGGTGCTCTGTGACTCGCATGACTGATCAAGCTCCCCTTGTTTCCCGCTCCCCTCCTCGCTGCCTCTTCTCCCCTCCTCGCTGCCCCTTCTCCCTTCCTCGCTGCCCCTTCTCCCCTCCTCGCTGCCCCTTCTCCCCTCCTTGCTGCCCCCTCGCCCCTCATCCTTTCAGGGTTACCATCCTCTCCCACCGCGGCCTCTCCCACTGATGGGCCCGCCGAGGGCCCATTCGAGGTGCTCTGTGACTCACATGACGAGTCTGGCGGGGCTACACGCGGCAGGCTGCACTATGCGGTGAGTGCAGAGAGCGCGGCTGTAGCACGGCTTTAGCACACATGGAGCGTGGCTGTAGCACGGCTGTAGCATATTTGAAAGCATGTGAGGTGCTCTGTGACTCGCAATGACGAGTCTGGTGGGGCCACATGCGGCAGGCTGCATTATGCGGTGAGTGCATGGCTGTAGCACGGCTTAAGCAAGGATGGGCGGTAGCAGGCCGGAATCTTGGCTGTAGCAGGGCTGTAGCAGCGGTAATGGAAGTCTGGAAAAATGCTCAGTGAATTGTCCGCTGAGTCTGACCTGACGGAGTTGCATGCGGCCGACTGTACAATGCCGCGAGTCTGACGGCTGCTGCAAACATTGCGGCTGTAGCAGGGTTGTTGCAGGGCTGTAGCAGGGCTGTAGCAGTGCTAATGGAAGTCTGAAAGCACGCTGTGTGACTCGCATGACAAGTACGGCGCGGCTGCAAAGGTTGCTTTTCACAGGTGGCTTCTCAAAGGTGGCTTTGTCCGTCAGCCCTTCTCGCTCCCCCATCCCATGCCTCCCATTCAGCCGATGGCCAAGGGTCATCCCTCGCCTCATCTCTTCTTCGCCAACATCACGGCGGTGATTCTGAAAGACAGCTTCAACCCATCCTTCAATCACTTATCTCCTCTCCTCTCCCATTTCTCCCAATCAGCCCATGGCGAAGGGCTGCCCTTCACCGCCTCCCCTCTTTGCCAGCATCACGGCGGTGTTTCTGGAAGGCGGATTCGCCACCCCTTCCTTTGCTGACGTGGCAAGCATTCTCCAGGTGGGATTCGCTGCAGGTAGTTTCAGCATCTCACTGTATTCATCTTCCGGAATCCTCCCTGTTCCTTCAGAATTATCCTGAATCCCTATCGATACGCATCCCCAAACCCCCACATACGCTTGCTTCCACTCTACATTTTTTTTTTCTGGTCATCAAATTAGAAATATACATAGATATATTAGTACATATAAGTATATATAACCCCCCCACTTCAGATTTTCTCACTCTTGTACATATATATACATATATATACACATATATCTGTGAAAGGTCATGAGGAACTTCAAATTTCAAGATTTTCTCATTGACTCTAAGTTGTTACAATTGTGTTGCCAATCTTCAATTTTCCTCTCCTTTCTCTCTTTCCCAGTGCGGAGGAGGCACTGTGATCCCAAGCAGCGCTCTTCACTCCCCCACAGCCAAGACCCTTCTTGCTGCCTTCTCCAACCCCTCCAACAACACCCCCACTGCTTCCGCCGCCGCCGCCGCTGCTCCTGCTGCTCCTGCTGACATCCGGAAGGACGAAGACAGGTCTCAGGGCTGTCAGAGGCATGGAGAGACGAAGATCCTGTTGGTGGTGTATGCTGATGTTCCTGCGAATACGCCCTTGGTGTCTGGTAAGATGCGGCGGGAACTGGCGCTGGTGGAGAAGCGGAGGGAAGCTGCTAGGCAATTGTGGAAGGAGGTTGGGGCTCGTGCATGTGTGACGCATAACTGGATTGTTGACTCGGCTGCTGGGTTTGAGCTCAAGGCACTTTAGGCTCATCTTGGCACTTTAGGCTCATTGCTTTTGCTTATAGCATATGCGTTTCCTTTTGCTGTTCATGCCCAACACCTAGCTTATTTAACAATGGCAGCGTGACACATACTGTAACTAAATCGCCAAACACCTAGCTTTTGTTACGATATGAATCTTTATGAGAAGGCATTCCTGTATGCTGCAGGAGCCGACTCTACCGAGTACGAAGTCGAGGAGTCAGAAGAGTCGAAGCAACGCTGGTAACCGTCTGACCAAGACCGATTCAGGCAGAAACCATTTGAAATGAAAAGAGCGGGAACATGTTTGAAACAGGTTTCCGCGCCGCAAGGTTTGAATTCGCTGTAATATGGGAATGTACCCCTTAGAGTACATGGCTAGCCTAGGTCGTTTCGTATTCCTTCGTATTCTTATATAAACTCGATGTACGCGTGCTTTTATCATCTCAGTCATTTACATTCACTCTGACCTGAGGTCAATACTTCCGTTGCAACACTACTCTGCGATCAACCCTGAGCGATCCTTCGTAAGTCTAACTTGGGATTGTAACATGGTACGGTATGAGAGCTACTCAGGGATTCTTCGCAACTTCACTTCCGTAAAATTCGCCGAATCAAGATCTGGCGAGCGGCACATGCTCCAAGACCAAGATGGCCGGAGGATCCGGAGGCCAAGCGAATCTAACAGCCGAAGGACAAACCAACCCGGCTGCGACAAATGTGGCGACAACGATTAGCACTGCCGCACTCGAGCAATTATTTTCGCGACTATCGACTATGGAGAAAGACCTCCAAGAACTGCACAAAAGCGATGCGGGAACCTCTTCCCAACCAGTTCAACCTGGACAACCGGCTGCGAAAAGCCGCGATACCGCCGCGGACACCTTCTCCCTCGAGACAGACAAATCAACAACAACTGCCCCCCGTCCAAGTGATGAAGCTATCAATTCTGCGCAAGCACGTTTTCTCAGTGTTTCAAAAATCAAGACTTCAACGGCAAAGACTTCTATTCGTGGAGTTTTGAGCTTGAGCTCCTCCTACAGACAGCGCAGATCTACCACTATTTCGACAGCTCCTACGCCAAACCGGTGGAAGACACCGAAGACGCCAGGGCTCGGTACTACAGTGAGTCCCTCATGGCGTATAGTGTGCTACTACGCAACATGACGGAACAACTCGGCATTCACTCCTACAAAGAGAGCGCCGCTCCAGCCCTGGAAGCCTGGAAGCACCTCGTTGAGGTATATCAGCCGAAGGACTCAGTCACCTCCAGCAGGCTCCTGCAGCAACGCATGGAGACCAAGATGGGGCACGGGGAGAAAGCGAACACATACATTAACCGTTGTCGGAACATCCGCGACCAGATCACGAAACATGGAAGCGCCATTTTGGAGGAGATCTTCGTCAACATCATCCTCCAAGGACTCGGGCCTGAGTGGAAGCCCTGCAAAGTGCTACTCCGACAACGAGGTGTCATCTCAGAAGCCGCACTATGCGCCGCCCTCCTGACTGAAGAGCAGGACATGGACTCGAGCAGGACAAGCTTCGAGCCACGCCGAGAGCGCCTCGCCTTCTACACAGACAACCGTGAAGAGCGACGACAACCAAGGCGCCATTATTGCAAATCTGCAAAGTCTTCGGACTTTCAACGGACCGATGCAAATCCCGGTCCAACTATCGCCACCCGAATTCCACTCACCACAACAATTGGGTCGGCCGACAAGACGCTCGTCACATTCAGCCTCAGCAATAAGCTACCCGTCCTCCTGCACAACACCAACAGCAACAGCAGACACAAGGACCTCCTAGAAACGTGATCGCAAATATGGAGACAAGGCGTCGCCCATGCGCTGTTGAACTAGACGACGAGGAAGAACCTCGCGGCGGGCTCATTCAACCTAAAGAAGGGTGTAACAATCCTCTCAGAGAAGGTTACTATTACCAGTACGGCGAGGACGAGCAAGATTTTCATCAGCCAATACAACTGCGAGAAAGCCCGCCTCACGAGCATCAGCGTTTTGTCCCTATGGGATGGAAGGAGGATGAAGACCCATCGTTCCACAGAAGATACAAGTCAACCCTGGTGACTCCGCGACTCGCGCTACTCTTGCGCAACGACTACAGAAACCAACAAACCTGGTACCTGGACAGCTGCTGTGGCCAGCACATGGTGGGATCTGTGCGGTACATCTCGAACATCAGCCGCGCCCGCGCCACCTACGTCACCGTCGCCAACAACGAACAGCTACGGGCAAACGCACAAGGCATAGTCGTGTTGCAAGCCAGGGACAGCAACACGCACATCTCGTTCAACGATGTGCTCTACGTACCGGATCTCCGCTTCAATCTCCTATCAGCAGGACAACTCAGAGACTGCGGAGTCATGCTCGCCACAGACCTCTACACGCACGACCTTATTCTCACCTATGCTCCCCCAGACACACCTCCCGAATCGCACAAGTACCTCGGTAGAGCTCGCTCGATGGACGGTGTCTACGTGCTAGACTTCGACATACCCACCTGCCAGGCTTCATCAGACGAGCTCGTCGACCTCGTTCCCCTGGACTTTCCATTCATGAACCATGGGAGCATCCAGACGGATGGCCGTGGACCTGCCGCAGTCCTCATCCTCGCGGGATAAATCTGCACCAACCTGGCCCTGACAGACTCTGCACCACCTGCCACACACCTACAGCAAGCCGCACAGAAGAAGTGGAGAGAGATCTCGCGGCAATTCAAGAATAAGAAAGCACCGAGGCAGAACCCGAAGGCATGACAGACATAGAGCTGGCCGTCACGTCCCATCGCATCTTCGGCACTGGGAACGAAGAGTTCAAGATGACGCCAGACAAACGCCCTACACCACGCTCGGAGACACTCCGTTTCGTCCTCGAAGCTAACACCGGAACCTTTGATGAGGAAAATCGTCCGCGCCCCTACACCTGCGACGTCCATCACACCGTCATTGACAAAAGTGGAAAGACCCAGATGAACCTGAGGAGATGAGCGTCCACGAGGAAGAAGAAAAGAAAAGGGCAAAAAAGAAAGCAAAGTTTGTACGAGGAGCGCATCGCGGCCGGATGGGATGAGGAGTCAGCACGACGCCGTGGATGGGGAGACGATGACGGCACCCCAACAACTTGGGGCTCCGCTACTGGCACCTCGGGCACCGTTCAAGGCTGGGGAACCGGCGGATGGGGCGACGCTGAATAACGAGATCTCGCCGAAGGCGACCTCACCCAGGAAGAACTGGAGGAGGTAGAGAGGGAGATGGATGCCGAACGACCTCCCCCGCGAGTCGCCGTCCCACTAGGCCGTCCTCCGCGCAACCTTCCTTCACCACCCCACTCACCCTATCGCTGGTCGGATCCCTGGTCGGAGATTGAGGAGGGGAATGTTCCTAAAACTCCGCCACGCGACTCGCTTGGGCCAATCTCCCGCCCATATCCATTTGCCCACTTTATCGAGGGCACCAAGACTCCACTCAACATCATTCCCGACCGCAACTTTCTCGCGCTCTATCTCATGACGGCACCTGCAGAAGGTGAGATAGAAGCAGAAGCAGAAGCAGAGGAGCCGGACAACGAAGCAGAACTAGGAGAATAAGAAGTACCCGTGCTCCTAATTCCCCACAAGACAGAAGCAGAGGTGGCAGAACATCACGCACGTTACCTGCGCACTTCCAGAATTCGCGCAGATGAAGACCTCTGGCATCAGCGGCTCGGCCACCCCTCGCGTCAGACGTTCAACAACTGTCTCCGCACCAAAGTATTTTTGCCAGGAGCACTACTGCGCCCTGATGGCACGGAACCCCTCAGCACGTCACACCCAACTACCTGCACCATCTGCCCTACTGCGGCCCTCACGCACCAAGCCTACCCCTCCATGGAGTCGAGCACCAATCGCTACAAGAAACTGCAGAAAGTCTACAGCGACTTCATTCTTCTCACCTTCGACGGCATCAACGGCGAACAATACACACTCACCTTCGTGGATGCGTACTCACGCCACGTCTGGATCACCTACGTCGACGTTCGCTCCAAGACTCCTGGGGTCTTCCGCATCTGGCTCGCACACGCGCAACGACAATCGGGGAAGAAGCTAAAAATCTGGCAAACTGACGGCGCCAAGGATTTTCGCAGCAACGAACTCGAGAGCGTTGTCGCAGAAAAGGGGATCAAGCATCAAATCTCTCTCCCCTGCGCTCACCAACAACAAGGCGTCGCTGAGAGGGTCAACCGCACTCTCATGACAAAAGTGCGCACCCTCATGAATCATTCCAGCCTACCCAAGAAATACTGGCCGTACGCCATGAACCACGCCGTGCGCCTGCACAACCTCCTCTCCACCACGGCCAACAGAGGCAATCTCTCCCCGCACATGAAGTGGACCAGCTCGAGGGGAGACATCTCCATGCTGAGATTTTGGGGGTGCATGGTGCAGTATCGGATGACTTCGGCCACATCTGGCAAGTTTACTCACCGCGCACGCTGGGGAGTCCACCTGGGGCTCAATCACGAGTACCAGGGCTGGCTGATCCTTGACATTGACACCAAACAGATCGTCCCTACCCGCGACATCCTCTTCTACGAGTGCCTCACCTTGCAGCAGTGGATCGAGGACGAGCGCCGCAACGTCGCACGTGCCTACGCCAACAATGGTCGCAGCTTTGCATCTCCGGAAGACAAGGCAGCAGCAGCAGCAGCAGCAGCAGCACTCGACCGCGACCCTGCCGACGAACACCCAGGCGTTCTGCCATGCCCGCGCAACGATGATGACGATGACGATGACGACAATGTACCCGCACCAGGACCATCGTGTCGCCACACCCAGCCCAGCACCTCATCACCTGCCCACAAGAGTGACGATGATGATATGGTAGAGGTCACCACCACAGACACCACCAATGTGTCCGGCCTGCAGCTACTCGGCCTACACACGTCTGTGACTACCCTCACGTGCGGCGTCGAGCCCAAGAACCCCCGCCAGGCCCTAACCGGTCCT